TAGGCAGAAGCCATAGACATCTCCTTGTAACTCGGAATGTTCCGCAAAATGACACACAGATCAAGACTTCTCATTCACTCTGAACACCTCGGGAGAACCTTTGGTCACTGGTGGTAATGATGAGGAAGTGACTGCCTCCTTTCTTCCCCGCAGTGCATGAGAAATTTGTATCATCTGCTGCACTCCCCCATCAATAAGGGGATAGATTATCGCCACGAGCATTGTGATCCACAACCAGATAATTCCCACAACGACCCAAGCAGTGAAGAACTGACATTTTGTTAGCACCTCACCGATCATAATGCGTGAGTAGTGGTGACAAATACTTACTCCTTTCCCAAAAACATATTTCGATCCGTACATCGGCAGTGGCCACAACACCCAGTGGCCCAAGAAAGTCGCAATCGACCAAAATGCAGCAATGCGACCCCATCTCTTCAATTCCTGGGAATCAAACGAGGATCGAGTTTGCTGCGCCTCACTACCTGGGCCATTCACCGTGATATCGCTGTCACTATCCAGTCTCTCGAGTCCTAGCTTTTCCTTGCGGAATTCCGCCCAGTCATACCTCTGAGGCTTTACTAGGGTGATCACAACAGAGTATACTATGGGCGAGAAAGCAGACGCTACAGTTCCATATACACAAGGTAGAATCTGTCCCGTTGAACTAACAGATACTGCACCGTAAAAGTGCTGCGCTGTGCCAAGCCACACCCCGATGCCGGTCGCCATCCCCAGAATTGGAGCCAGAATAGCGGCTGCTCTGCTCTGTCGGCGCCAAAGGATCGTGAACGCCATGGGAAAGATACCGGGACAGGTTACCACACCTATATTCTTTAGTGTTTGCCCCGAAATCAAATCGAGATAGAAGCTTACCCAGCATATATAGTGTCCAGCCAAGATCAATACCCACATAATGGAGCATGGTGCTGAATCCGGCAGAAAACGCAGCGAAGAAAATGACCCCGAAGTGACTGGCACGGATAATGTCCTTATCTGATGCTGTCTTGTTGATATATTCTCGGTATACATCAAAGCTTAGGATAGAGCTGACGGCGATGACTTGCGCAGAGAGGGTCGAAGTTACTGCCATAAAGGTAATGAGGAGGACTGCAGCCGCCCCGCCTTTTCCTGCAATAGTCATGGCTGCATATGGAAGGACAAGGCCATTGCTGACTTCCGTGGAGGTCATGCGCTTAATCAATTAGCATCGTCGACGGTTAAAGGTGGACAGTACCTACGCGGGGATACGTCGGAAAGGAAGACTTATTCTCGAGGCCTAGGGCAAGAGAGCTCATGATGGTTCCTAGGGCCCACGGGATAGCAAAGTAGGCAATCCCACCGATTGTGTATCCCGGTACTACAGAGGAGGGAGCGGCGGAGAATGCTTTGATGAAATAGCTAGTGTCCATCTGGCAGAAGTGTTAGTCGTTTCTGAGACTGGTGTGTTTATACTTACGATTACTAGGCCGAAGTTGGAGCATATATGAAGAATTCCGAACAGGATAGCCTGAGTTGGTTAGCAAAGACAACAACATGGACTATAGTACATACACCCTTCGAAGTCATGGTCAGGTATGTCCCATCTTGATTTCCAGACACAGGATGGCGCTGCGCAGCGGCTTGCACGAGCTCATATAAATTGCCGATCGAGCCGACCTCTTCGAAGGTAAAAGCTTTTATGGAGAGATAGCATGCGATAATGAGGATGATGGCGGTGTGGAAGTAGTCCGTAAGGAATCTTCTCTGGTAAGCATTGTGTATTTTACCTCCAGCTGGGGACTTACGTTGCTTTGATGCCGCCTACGAAGGTGTACACGGTAACGCCAACAGGCAACAGGAACGTCGCAGCAATGATGTGCATCCCAGTTCTATAGAGTCAGTGAGATTCGAGGATTCAGTGAGGCACTCACATGGCTGATATAACCGCAGCAGCACCCAAGAGCATGTTGGCGCACGCGAAGATGTTGTTAATTAAACACAGGGTCATGAAGACCGCGTGTGCAATGCGACCTGATCACATCAGCAACAAGCGAATAAGTATAGCATTGAGAAGCCTACCATATCGGATTCGGACCACTTCGAGCGATGTGTGTGCATCCGGAATCTTCCTCTTGCAGGATATCCCGATCAAGGCGAAAAAGACGATCATAGGACTGCAGCCTGCGGCGAACCAAAAGGGACCAGCCACACCATAGTCATACCCCACAAACGACGCTCCTAGCATTGCTGTTGTCCATAACCAGGACTGTTCACTTAGCAGGAATACACCGCTGCCGAGGGTGGACTCATACCGAGATTACTGCGGATGCTGTTAAGCCGGTCCTAACGGTGCGATTGGCAGTCATGAACCTGAAGGATTAGCAGGTGAAAGCCCATTATTCTTATGGGACGTACATCTCAGTCTTCCTGTTATCTTCACCCGTTGTTTTCTTGAGTATTCTGGTGATGACCATCATCACTGTTTTGTCAGCTGCAATCCTCGTCTAGCTTCGGTCACATACCACCGGCGATGATGAGCCCTAGCACCACGACAATAACATATCCTACAGCCTGAGATAGTGGCGGCTGCACAGATGCCCCTGCTGCACGAGCTTGCATTTCTGACATCTTTGTCAAGATGTCAAGATACTTCGGTGGCTAGACAATGCAGCACTCAACAGCGGCAGAAAGACAAGGCTGACTATGTGGAGGCACCCCGGCAAATGTACCTTTAAGATCTACATCACCGCACACATTATCGCTACTATCACGCTATCCGCCGATCATTGTATGTTACTGCGAACATCGTGTTCCCCGATGATACGATAGCCTATGCATATGAGGTGCTTTGACCGGGTTCCAAGATCGTGGGGATAATATATCTGGATTTAAAGTTACTCGGCCGATATACGTGCATGATTGTCCGTATAGCGTAAGGTCAATGAAGTTAAGTTATTGCGTGACAGGGACGATAGTTGGCGGAAGAGGACCAAAGATAGGGCAGGGGTGGATGCTCCGGGAGCCCGAGGTGGCTTGCGCCAAGTTTTCGACCAACTACCGAGGTCGTGCAATTCTCGACCAGAAATCGTTGTGTTTAGATCTCAGATAAAGAAATTCATAATGATCCCTGCTCTTATTTGGGGCTGTGTTTTATACGTGATCCCCCGTTAATGGGCGACCCCTCATCTCCCCATCACGTCATCCCGGCCCACTGTGATGCTACTGAACATCCCCTCCGGCGAGGTCTGAATTGCACACTTATGGTCCATACTTATTCGCGCTTGATCTCTGAACAATATCTTTATAATTAACTGGCCTTATTTTCTTAGAGTTCATATCGAAGACTCAGCATTTGCCGGTTCGAAAAGCCTAAGCCAGCACCTCTCTCTCGCCAAACTAACCTCCTATCTACCCTCCACAATGGCTACCGACAACGCTACATCTCGACCCCGCAAACAATTAATCCTCAATGCATTCGTTGAAATGTGTACGCACCCCCAAATTTATTCTTCTTCAATCGCTAACATACCCCAGGTAGTGGCCACCAGTCCCCAGGACTGTGGCGACACCCAGAGGACGAATCGCACCGATTCAACGACATCGATCACTGGATTGAGCTCGCAAAGCTTCTAGAATCCGCCAAGTTCCACGGAATCTTCATCGCAGATGTCCTAGGTAGCTTTTATCCCCAAATACCTCTAGAATATGCATGAATAGTAACCTCCCCAGGCGGCTACGACGTGTACAAAGGCCCCCGCAACCTTGAACCAGCCATTGTATCTGGCGCGCAATGGCCCGTCAACGAGCCATTAGCTGTTGTACCTGCCATGGCGGCTGCAACACAAAATATCGGCTTCGGAGTGACCGTCACAACGACCTATGAACAACCGTATCATCTTGCGCGTCGGCTCTCTACTATTGATCATCTCACTAAGGGACGGTAAGTCACTCTTCACGGCCCTCGTCGTCACTACCAATACTAACATCAAAACCAGGATAGGATGGAACGTAAGCACCCACCACCCAACTAACAATAATCACCAAACTAACAAACTCAGATTGTAACGGGCTACCTCGACTCCGCAGCCCGTAACCTAGGCCACACCCAACAACCCCAGGTACCCTAACCCACCCCTCACTTACGCACCAAAAATTCACTCTTGATACTAACCACCCACAGCACGACGACCGCTACGCCCAAGCCGAAGAATACATCAAAGTGACCTACAAACTATGGGAATCCTCCTGGCGCTCCGACGCCGTCGTGCTGGACCGCACCCGCGGCATCTACACAGACCCAACGCGAGTCCGCGAGATCAACCACACCGGCAAATACTTCACCGTCCCCGGCCCCCACATCTGCCAACCCAGCCCACAACGCACACCCGTGATCCTCCAAGCGGGGACATCCAAAGCCGGGAAGGCGTTCGCGGCACAGCATGCCGAGGCGATCTTCGTGGCGGGACATAGTCCGTCCGTGGTGGCGAAGAATATTGCGGAAATCCGGGAGACGGCGAAGACGCAGTTTGGACGGGATCCTGCGGGGATTAAGTTCCTGGCGCTGTTGTGTCCGGTGCTCGGGAGGACGGAGGAGGAGGCACAGGAGAAGTTTAGGTATTTTAGGAGTCTTGGGTCGATTGATGGTGCGTTGGCGCTGTTTGGGGGCTGGACGGGGATTGATCTCGATCGGTATGGTGAGGATGAGGAGTTGAGGCATGTGGAGAGTAATGCTATTCGGTATGTTCTTCTTGTGCTCGGTGATGGGTGGGAGATGTGCTGATTGTGTGATAGGTCTGCCGTTGAGGGTTGGTCCAAGGCGACTCCGGAGGTCGAGAAGTGGACGAAGGCTACGGTGGGTCAACATATCACCGTTGGTGGATTGGGTGCCACCCCAGTAGGAACGCCGCAGCAGGTGGCGGATCAGATGGAACGGTGGGTGAACGAGGCGGATGTGGATGGGTTTAATTTGGTATGTTGCTGGAGATGGTTAAAAGTGTGTATTTGGCTAACAGAACCAGGCATATGCTATCAAACCCGGCTCCTTCAAGGACATCATCGACTTGCTAATCCCTGAGCTTCGTAAGAGGGGCCTCTTCTGGGATGACTACACTGTCAAGAAAGGAACGTACCGCGAAAACATCTACGGCAAGGAAGGGCAGAGCGGCCCGCCGGCTGATCATCCAGCTGCAAAATATCGCTGGCATGCGGGCGTTGAAGCGGCAGACCATCCGGTCCCGGAGAACTGATTTGTGCACGGCGATGCAATGCTATTACATAAATCAAAAACTGCTATTTTAGATCTCGTATCTCTCATATTTCAACAGATACTATATACCCATACCACACTAGCCTCAGTGCATCACACTATATGATACATTATTCGAAATGCAGCGTCAAACCGGAACACCATCAGTAACAGTCCCATACTCAGTCACAGTCCAATTACCAAAACAAGCAAACTCAAACTGAGACCTTTCCAAACTCCTCTTCTGAACATTCATGAACGTAGACAGCTCGCACCAGCCATCATCGCGATACTCACATTCCGCAAAGCTAGAATGCAGAGGAAGCGTGCGCTGATTCTGCAAAAAGTGAACGTAGAACGTTTCCCCAGTGCCATCCACATAAGCATTTCTCTGATCACCCGCAGGACGTGTAGCAGCAACCTTACGGGGCGCCTTAATGATCTCAATATTCGTCCGTCCACCAAAGGGAACAATGTTACTAGCCTTGAACTGCTGGTAGAGTGGAGGTCCAGTAGGAGGCAGATACTGGGCGAACTGCCTGAATCCAAACGCAGTGAGAACAGCGACTATACCCGCATCATGCGAGAAGTCAAGGTAGAGATTCTGATCCGTTGGGAACGTCACGGGATTAGTGTCCAGGGTCATGTTGGCATTGGTGTCTGTAGTTTGAAGTAAGTGGCCCTCCACACGGGCGAGGAATTCCTCTACCCAGGCGATTCCTTGCGCGCGGCCCGCGGGACAGGCAAACCCGACCATGTTGGAGAATTCGATATCGAAGGAGTAGCTGAAGTTTTCGAATTCTTCGAAAGTGAAAAGCTCACAGAAGTGGCTGTAGCCGTAACTGATGGTCTCGTAGGCGCACATGGTCTGCGCGTTGTAGCTGTCGGTCGTGGTCCAGTTGTAGGATCCAGTCAGTGTGTGGAGTGCTTCGGTGCGCTCTTTGAGATAGATGTTTTTCCATGTGGATAGCGGTGTGGTGGCATTGTAGGCCATGTACTCTAGTGCGCGGGTGCAGGAGTAAGTCCCAATTAGGGAGTTGTTGTAGCCAACACCTTCTATCATTGGTAGGAGGTTGGCTTTTTCTGTCCATTCAAGGCCAAAGAAGCCTGCAAGGAAGTTCTCTGCGGATTTTAGCATGCGGTCCTGGGTCGTGGTGCGCGCTACGAGCTTATGGGTCGAGCTGGAATTAAAAAGGTGTCCGTAGTTGTAGAAGTTTAGGACGCCGCTGTCATAGAGCTCCTGACGGCCTTTGGGGACGAGGATCTCTAGACCCAGTCCGTAGTCCCAGTTGTTCAGGAAAGAAAGTGCGCCCGTGAAATTGTTACCACTAGCCGTAGAGTTGATGATCTTCTGGGCCCATGAAGCCAGACCTTCTGAGGATGAAGGATATCGAGAACCATGGCGGTGAATCATATGCATTTGGGTGATGTTAGAGCCTTGCGGGAGAGGATATTCATCTACTCCGAAGCCATCGGGTACATGGTAAGGGCTGTGTGAGTTAGTAAAGGACTCAGCATTGAGAACAATGGGGAATCCATCATTAAGCTACGTACCTTAGGTTTCCCATGTATTGGAATATATTGCGGCCAGCAGCCCCCTTGATCGGCTCACTCGTTTCCAGCGGGTCATTGGGAGACAAGGTCTTTTGTCCAAACGGGGCAGGATTTGTCTCGGCTAAGAAGGGAGCAACCCCGGTTGCAGTGGTGCCTTCTGAAGTCAGCTTAACCCAAGTCTGCAAAACGATTAAGTACATACCCTGGTAGCTCTCGGGCGTGGTCTGAAACCAATCAACTCCGGTTGTGGTAGCTGAGGGACTGGGAGTCAGTGGAGTTGAGCTCTGTAAGCGGGCTTCAATAGCAGCAGCATCAGCTAAAGAGGCTACTGCCAATATAGATAAGCTAGTGAGAGTCGAGTGCATGTTGATACTCCCACTTTATTAACGATAAACCGTTCATTTAGTGACAACGACACTCAGGGGTGGATGCGACGCCAATTTGTAGGCATGCCGTGCTCCAGGGGAAGCAAAGAAATGCAAAGTCATATACATCCCCATCACTGTGTTGTGCATTATTGTGTATACGACATGCTCAGATACCTTTGGAGCGTACCAGCAGCTGCAGAGCATCGATGCACGTGGGCATCTTCTTGATCAAAAACAGCCACGGCACAACAAGCCAGGGCATCTGTCATGTCTCGGCTGCAGCCATCATCTCGCTTACATGGGGTGTGGAGACGTGAGTCGTACCCCAGGCCGAATGCGATCCTTTTCCCGGGTCCTTGCATTTCGCTGCGTCAGCCACTCGACCTTTGTAAGATAGATCTCCTGACGTTCGAACGTTCTAAGTTCTCATCGGCAAGCAGGAAAAGCACGTGGGCTTACCGAGTGGTGGTTGTCTTCCCACTAACTGCTAGTAGGTTCTAGGGCCTCGGCATCGGCTGTTGGGTGGCCTAACTTGCACTAAACATGTATACCTTCTGAGCTACATCATCTCTTCGATCACAAAGTGCCGCCATGTTGGGACCTGGTCGACTTCCGTTCTATGGTTGACATTTGCATTAAAGCATAACAATGGGCCATGGCAGCTAATTCCTGAGCCGACGCGGCTTGGGTCCTATACAGCGTACCAGATGTTGACAATGACGGAAAAAGTACACTGTGCACTTTAGAAAAGGAAAGCCGCAGTATATTTGCAAGAATTCCTATAACCATCGTTTCATCTCGTCATCTTATTAATTTTTACCTAGCATACGACTTCTGTCAATGTACTATATAACGAAAATCTAGAATAGTATCAGCCCACTACATAGCACCGAACTAATCTTGACTCAAGACAGACTGCCTCTCAGCAGAATTACTTCGCCGTCTTCTTCACCCCCATAAACCAATGCACATTCGTGGTCGGATACATAACCGGCGACTTTCCCGACCGAAACTCCCAATTCTCCAAACCAGGTGCTTCCGTCCGTCTGACCAGATCGTGCAGTTCATCCGAAGTCCGACAGCGCATGATAGACACAAAGCCATCAAAAACCATCAGCAGAGGTGCCAGAGGCAACACAAATGTAAAAAGCAAATGTAAGGGCGACCGCCAGAATCGCAGCAGGGTGTATTGGCATGCGATCAGTATCAGGCCTGGTAATATTAGCATCGAGCTGAGATCGCGTGCGGTGAGTTCGAAGATACTGATTATTTTTGTTAGTATTTGATGGTATCCGACTTCGAGCTATGGGTTTGGCCTTAGTGACATACATGAATGCATCAGCCGACTCGATCGCGCTCTGCAACATGGGTATAGCAAGCGGGTCGTCGAAATGGTGGAAAGCAGCGTTGAACATCCGGCATTCCTTCCGGTTTTGTGGGATCAATCGACCACATCTTGACGCATCGACTGGTTCAGAGATGTATGAAATGTTCTCTTGCTGTTTGGTGAGAGCAACCCATTCGCGAGGGTGGGGATTTAGGTCCGTTAGCAAGAATTGGGCCGAAGGGAGATGCTGAGCGCGGAGGCGGGCGTTGAGAAGTCGCTCAAAGGTGGCGGATGGGCCTCCTCCGCCCGAGCCCAGATCGACAAATGTGAAGGACGAAAGCTGGGGGAAGTTATCTGCAAGGACTTCGCAGGCAACGTCCGCTGAAGAAGCCTTGGCAATTGGGGGTAGGCGCAAATTCCAGCAGTGGGTAAGGCATAGCTGGGCATATTCGATCGCCCTGTCGGGACACCATGGCTGGTCGGCGATCTCGAAGAGGTGGAAGCGGGGGAGAAACGACATGGTGACTGTCGAGGAGGTTTCAGATTGCTTGGAAGAGAAGACTGGTTGGGATGAGGTTGGGATGAAGATATATCATATTCTTATCTGTGCTCGGCGTTGCTTCATTTCGCCCCATTCAGGTTCTGCGTTGCTTCGCTTCCTTTCATTCGAGACTGGACCTCCTTAGTGCGATCCTAGTCACATACGGTGGGCATTTAAATTGCTCCCGACCGTCTCCGAATACTCTTCAAAGCCCGTCCACGCCGAACTTTTTGATTGGCGAAGGAAACACTTCCAGAGGAGGGGGTGCTTCAGTTTCGAAATGATAGTTGTCGAGATAATGATGGACAAGATTGGCGAGGTTGACAGGCACGAAACCTTAAACGCCCTACCAACGTTTACACTACGTCATCATCCGAATAGCATGCACAGATCATAAAGATACTCAATCCTGTAACAGAGACTGAAACTGACTCGGTACAGCCACATCCCATATAAGAAAGTACAATGAAATTTCACGAAAGCCGTTCTGATCTTGGCAGGCTACCAATTCCCCGGTCGCGGGTGGCCATCAACGGTGTGGGTACAGCCCAATAAGATAGCTCACAACGGCATGGTATGATAAATTTAGTAGTAGCAAGGGACAATGCCTGATTGGTGCATTTTAACTGGCTTCGTGCCGATCAGACCAGCCACGCGGCGGTGAAACATACTATTCGATCAGATCTTGCATTCCGAGTTTCATTCATTTCCATATCTGAGCATCGAACGACGGGATATCAAGCTAAAACAGAAAAACATTCCAAGAAGTAAGGGGCATAATTAGGAAGGTCTATGGTATATCATCAAGATGCAACGTGAAATCTCTATATTTACAGAACCAAGAAAACGCCAACCACGACTCCCGCCACCAGCGAGGCAATCTGGCTGCGCGGCACTGTAGCCGAACTCTCCTTGTCCGACTTGTCGCCCGAGCCCGTCGACGTGGCGGCCGGTGCCGTCGTTTCCGTCGCTCCCGTCGCCTTGGGCACGGCATCGGATCCCGTGCCGATCTCCAGGACGTGGTCCTCGCCGGGGTCGAAGTTGGCCTTGGCCAGGGAAATCTCGTTGTTGCCGAGATCGTAGACGACGTATGCGCTGCGCAGGAAGGTGTCACCGAGGAGGGCCTCGTCTTCGATCACTGACAGACCGAACGTACAGATGTTCATGTCGGTCATGTCGGAACTGGTCTCGAGGATCATCTCGCTGATGTCAACGCTCATGTTGAAGGATCCAAAGTCGAAGAGGAAGGTGAAATTATCGTCCTTGACGGAGCACTCGATCACTCCGTACCCGTACTCGCTCATGTAAGTGGCACCGACGGCGTCGTAGATGCTGGCTGCGGCGGAGGTCGGGATGTAGGTCAGGGCAGTGCCGCTGTCCAGCACGGCGGGGATGGGGAACTGCGTGGCGCTGTTGTTGACCGAGACGGAGTTGCCGTTCTTCTCGAGGTGCACGGCTGTCAGGTTGACAGCAAATTCGATGTACATGTCCTCAATGGAGACGATAGGCAGGGTCTGCAGGCTGCCGTAGTACTTGGCGGTGTTGACTCCGCCGAACAGGATGGTGCCTTTGCCTTCGTCGAGGTCATCCAGCCAAAGACTGTAGGCCGGCCAGTTGATCACGCCTTGGTCGACGAGAGCTTCGGGGAAGTTTGTGTATTCACCACCACCGTAGCTCGAATCGCTGGCTTCATCGGAGGCGTATCCGATACCGAGGACGCCCTCTGCATGGAAAGCAGTTAGCAAACTGTGGAAACAAACTGGTGAGGAAATGGTGGGAACCTACCCTCGGAGTCGCCGTCATATGCGACGGCAAATTGAAAGTTCGTCAGGGTGACATTGGAAAACTTCAAAGTATCGTTGACGTAGTCGCCCGTGGCTTCGCTGCCGTCGACATACTCGATAGAAAAGTCATCGTTCACGAAGGTGTAGGTGGAAGATTCGCTCGAGTTGTAGGAGCCGTAATCGGTACAGGGGCAGGCGGACGAGTTGGCGCCATTGACCCAGAGATCGCTACTGCCGGTGTCCAACGTCACACTGACTTTCTGGCCGGGAGTGCCGAGGGTGAGGTTCATCGTGTAGCCAAGATTCGTCGCCTGAAGACGTGCGTTAGCGACCGTCACAACCCCCCTGACTCAGAATCGGGATGTCAACATACCAGGTTAACGAGGTCGGCCGAAGCCGTCGATCGCTTCCGGCGGGACCGGTCGGCGATCTGACGACGTTCAAAGTTGAACTGAAGCGTAGATGGTTCATCGCGCTCATGGATAGAGAGGGAATAGGCGGACTGGGCGGCCCAGGCCAAAGAGAGAAGGGTGGTGCTCTTCATGGTGGTGCTGTGATGATTTCCCTTCTCACGTAATTTGGGGGCGAACCTGTCGGGGGGAAGTTGGGGGAGCGGAGCGTCTTATATGGTCGGTGCAGAAATGATGGATCGGGATAAAAAGTTGCCCATGGGAGGCGCAGGGAGGGGCACGGGGAAGTCGGAGAAGTGCTCAGCCTTGCGCGGTCGCTTCGTCATGGCCTGTTCCTGAGTTTTTAACAGAAAGCCATCCAGCGCCAGAGACCCGCTCCAATGTCAGCCTTCAGACCCTGGGGCTGTTGCTTTTTTGCTGACAAGCGCTGGGCTGTGAAGAGGCTCTTGTCTGGCAACCAACGAATCCCATAAGGGGGAAACTCAGACAAGTGGGTCGTTGGCAGGCAACCATCAAATGAAGAACTGTTCTATCCGCCACCCCGAGGAGGAAGAAGAACTGCGAGACTATTCCCTCCCTCGAACTAATGGATAGACGGGGGTTTACTCCGTCGGTCATACCGGAATGGATGACTCTTGGCAAAAGCATGGCCTCTGACATGGCATCTTGACTACTAACAACATGAACATCATAGCTCTTTTGCTATTGAGATGACAACTGCATGCTGTTCACCACTTGCAATCCCAGCAGTGACGACACCCCAACGTGGGATGGCGTGGCCTCGCATCGCTCGGATGCAGGCGGAGACACCCGATTCTTCGACCGGCGCTAAATCTTGCCCTCATTAGTCACCGCGGACTTGCTCCCCTATCCAATGACATGGTGTCCATCCGCGCCTTTCCACGCCTGCAAAAATTGCGGTCGACGAGAGTTTGTTAATAAGCTGTCGCGGTTAATGTTTACTAACTAATTATCCTTCGATTGGAACAAACATAAGACAGTTGATATTAAAGGCTTAGCTTTTGGCCATTTGAGTTTGTCGGTCCTGGCAGGTTTCACAGCCTTGTTCAACGGGCCTTGACACAGTACAATGCAATTTAATCACTGGCAATAGCGCCTCCTTCGTGGTTATCGGCCCGTTCGCCTAGAGATCAAGGAGCTCTTGGCGAGACCCTGATTCGCACCCTGGCCGTGAACTGCTATATCCACTTCGTATAAGGTGGATCGAGGGGCTAATTCTGCCGTTATCATAAGCAGATTTATACTATCATGCTCATCGTGAAAGGGGTAATTGGAGTTTACTGGACTTCTTATTTGACCTCATGACGGACTCGAACGACCGGAAAATGTGATGCAGGATACACAATTCTAGCAATCGATCTATACGAATAGAAATAAAAACCCCTCAAACTCGGAAAAAAGCAGCAGCTCACCTTACGAGAGAAGTCAAATCAGGGTCCACTACATCTCACTCTCCAATGTCGATAAAATTCCTAACCAATCCTATACACCCAGCGCTCAGTCCACCCCTCAGCTAATGTTACTAATAATGAGAACCCCAAGCTAGTGACAAACCGCCTCATACTCTCATTTCTCTTATCCACGATAGTTCACTTTCACTACCATAGCTAGCCCCTTCAGTTATCTTTTAGATGAAGCTATCTATCATTTTGGTTCAGTTCATTGTGCCGACGCACTCCGTATCGGCCGTGAGCGCTTCAGTCTTTAGCCCTGACTCTAGATACCTGGAGGCTCGAGCCCAAAATCAGGCTGAGGCGACACTCGGATATGAGTCACTAATTATGACGCAGAGCAGTATGACTAGACGAGTAGATGAGCAGATGACTTTAGTGTCGACTATCCGTCCTTGGCATTATCAATATACGAAGCTTGTTGTGGTGATGCGGGAGGTGTCGTGGGGGGGGGAAACTGTCTACGAGGGGGCGATGAGCTTGGCAGAGTGTCGATTGCATTCACGATATTTTCAGACAGTGGCTGTTCAGAGGGGTCAGACTCTGTGGGATTTTATTTCGAAAGCTTCCTTGGTCGGTTACGAGATATTACTGCCGCTCTCCTGGTAAATGCCAACCCGATCTGTCATGTTCATGAGATCAATTGTGATAGTGCCAGGTATGCTAGTCGCCGGTCTAGTCTACTCCAGTAACAATCATTGAACTCGGTGATCAGTTGTACAGCTCCGTCGGAAAGCCGCGACTTGATAGATATAGGAAGCTGTAGTGGGGAAATGATAAAGCACTCTTTCCAAGCATGCCCTGTAAGCCACAGTGGGGTTCCAAGCAGCCAGAACAACTGTCCCTGGTTTTCATGGCAGAATAAGGGTTATTTCTTTGTCTCTGGGATACAGCGCCCGGTGTGATGCAGTTCCTATACCGCCGTTGTTTGGTATTTTGGGTTGAAACTTGCCCGGTGACAATGGGACCATACGGGTCTCGGGTACCAGTGTTTGATCTCTCCTGCATTCGAGGATGATGATGCAAGATATGTCAATGTTAGAGGGGTTATTTGGTAATTACTTAGTATTGATCTCTGAAGTGTAACTGTGGCGGACTCATCGGTTCAACATCATGATTGTACTAGTAGTACTAGATGTTGAGTCGAGTACGAATAATCGGTAATAGATATATTGTAGTTTCGCCAGCGATGATACAGAAGACATCGCTAATTAAGAAGGCCAACGACATCAAAACCTAACGAAAAACACAATCATAGTAAAATCTGTTCTCGATCTAACTCTACAGTTTTCTTCTTAACACGGGAGGTGTGAAAAACAAAAAGTACAAAAAAGATCTGACAAGAGTGGGATTCGAACCCACGCCCCTTTCGAGACTAGGAATGCTCCGAAGAACATGTCTGATCAGATACACCTGACCCTAGCGCCTTAGACCGCTCGGCCATCTTGCCGTTGATGTCTATTATCCCACAACTTACCTCTCATATTCCACATCCACTCTCTATCTATCTCCAGCAGCATAACTTCTCACCATCCCCGCCACTCCCCTCGCAACCTCCCCTCCCATCCCATCCAAACCCCTCAGCACCCCTTCCCGATCCCCTTCTCCACGTTCCTGGCTCATCTTGAACTTCCCCTCCATGCGCTCCACAGACACTTCTATCCCGACGATATTCTTCTTCAGGATATTGATGTATGCCTCCGGCGCTTCGTCGACGGTCCATGCTCGTGGACATGATTTACCCTCCAGGTTGTTATCAGTATCACTGGTATTGGTAGCAGTGGTATACCCCATGATATCCCCCTCACAATGTGCCGAGAGATCACGAAGCTGTTTATCTAGAAACATCGAGGCCTGCTGGCCAATTTCCCCCTCCGAACGGGGGTTGTAGATCCGCGCGCGGCCGTAGACTTGCACGGCGGCGTAGTTCCATGTTGGGGCGACTTTGCCGGTCTGCGGCTTGGTGGTGGTGTAGAAGTGTGGGGTGATGTAGCTGTGGTAGGGGGAGGTGAAGAGGATGAGGACTTCGGTGGGGAGGTTGGATTCAGATTGGGATTGAGGTTTGGTGGCTAGGGAGTCGAGGATGGCGGCGCATTGGGGGTTTGCGCGGGCGATGTGGCCGCGGAGTTTGATTTTGTTGTTGGTATCGTCAGTGGTGGGAGAAGGGATGTCGAGAACCCAGGGGATGTGGGTGGATTGGAGTAATGGGAGTGGAGGGGAGGGGATGGCGGTGGTGAGGACGCCGAGGGGGTTTTGTTGGATGAAGGTGTGGAGGGTTGAGGGGGTTGAGTCGGTGTAGATTTCTTTCATGTACATGATGGCTGTATGTATGCATATGTATAACTGGGAGTAGGATAGAGATAGGTAGATGAGAGATGCAATCGGGCTGGAAGCAAGGGGGAACATGATGCAGATAACCTTAGATCTTGTCCCCGTGCGGGGTTTGGGACAACTCAATTATGGGGTTCATTCCTATTGGCTTGTCGGCTATGTTCCGCGTCTATGATGGTACAGCATCATTGTGGTACAATTTCTTTTTGTTTACGTTCGTTTGTACTTGTATCATGACAGTAAGGAAATATGTACAGTGAAGTGTAGATGGCAGATGTTGTTGTCCTCCGCCAAAATCATTATCCCCGAGGATTTTTAGCATAGGGGCCATTCTCATTCATTGCGTGGCCAGCGCAGGTCAAAGCGTTGCAAAGCCTGTCTGGCTTGGGTTATCGGTTAGGAGTTGGAAAAAAGAATTGCCCATTGTAAGTGGCACTTTTATCGCCATGGGCTTTGCTTTCGAATAAACTCCGATGTGTTTCGCGGCGCATGTGGTATGACCGCGCCAGCTAGTGGCTAAGCTGGGTCGTCGCTAACCCAGTAAGGGTTTCGGTCCTCTAAAGTGTACGGAGGGACCTTCAGGCAATGCCCGCGTCGGTCGCAAATCGGTCAGCGACGATTGCTTGCGGGCGCGCGATGCTCGCATATCTGTCGCGAGATGGATTGTCGCAAATGCAAAGGAATGAGAACACAGTTTCTCAACTGTTCGAGTAGTAGGATGGCAATGCGACTGGATTAAAATCTTATAAGCCGGCCTCGGTGTTCGGCCGGTAATCTCAAATAGAAGGTGTAGAATCATCAGGGCAGCTTAGGAGTCTAATGGTAGATGCTGCTTCGCTCGCGTTGGCCACTTAGATTGCTTGATGCAGAGTCATAGGCCGCCTCATGGGTGACCTCGATCGTCGTGTGCTGCAGCACCACTCCCATCGGGGCCAGCTCCAACCCATCCTTGCCGATCATCTCCTCGGTGGAATCGCTGCGGCCGCGCGCAATCGTGGTGTTGGTCGGTCCCTTGCCATCGATACTGTTGCCGTAGTGGTGTGCGACCGAGGATTTGTTCGGTCGGCTGGAGTATTTGTTGTTGCTGCTGCCATGGATCCTGGCTTCGGGCTCCAGCACCACACTGCGGCGACTCAGTGTGTACATGAGGGAATCACAGAAGCCACACAGAGTCATGAAGGATCCGGCAAAGCAGAAGTAGAGAACGCTAGGGGAATGGCCACTGGCAGAAGCCATTCGACCTGCGGCAAGAGGTAAGGTAAGGCAGATATACACTACGGGGTATAACGCCATGTGGAAAATGACACGCTTGAGTCGGGTCAGACTTTCGGAGTTGTGCTCGCCCAGAATGGCTGACTCGGCGATCCTCTTGCGCAGTTGCAGGAACATGATCGCGTACAGGACGACGGTGAAGAACTCCGAGGCGAAAATCCAAAAGTAGTGAGTCCACAGACGCATCGACTCGTACTTGGGGGTCATCCAGCACTGGAGTAAAGAAAAGTTAGTGACTTACAGAAATATTGTAAAGAGAAGATCAACTTACCCAGGCTACAGCCGGATACCAGACGTACCGACCGTGTGCTGCGATCGGAATGACAGTCGTTATAACCCCAAAGAGCCAGAGCCCACAAATGATGGAAACAAAAAGACGGTGTGATATCTGGTAGCCCAAGGTGACGTGCATGAAAGTGTGCGCAGCAATGGCGAGCACGAACAGACCACTCATGGGATCACCAATCTGCAGCCAGATGCCCTGCAAGAAGCATGCAGGGTCTGCGGCCGTCACCGAGTTGGTCTGGATCCATCGCAAACTGATGATAAAGCCCAGACTTTGGATGAAGTCAGCCAGAATGAGGTTAAACATGAGCACGACATATTGGTTGTAACCGATATAACGTTTGTAGTGGCGTTTCCAGAAAATAAAACGATAGGTAAAGAAAGTCAACAAGGAAAGAGTACAAATGAGTGAGACGGTGGCCAGCGCCGAGATAACGATCAAGCCCTTGGTCTGCAAACTCGGCAGTGGGCTCATAACAGCCTCGCCCTGGGTACTCGAGGAGGACGAGCGACGCTGCAGGGCCGGATTAGCCGCATGGGCGTCTGCCTCGTACAGTAAGGACTGGATCGCCAGGGACAGCATGATGGGGAAAGGTAACCGGGGGTGGAATTGTTTCAGGCTTCCTTTCCACCGACGGCATTTGACCTATATAACCGCTGTGTCCTTCCACCCCCTGGGGTTGGTCCTAGCAGGCAGCGTGGCCAGGAGCCCTCACCCGCTCTAAGTCCAATTAGGAACGGCGCGTCAAGTGTCGATCGAGGGTACCGTGGATTCGACGGATTTTACGGAAACGACTCAGTGCAATTACCGGGGCGGGTTCGGGCATGTGCCGAAAGGAGTTATCATCTTCCGTGACGACTGGGGGTCCCATCTCCACCTGGGAGGTTTTGGGAGCGAGCTTGGCTCCTTTAGGCTTTAGCTGTCCATCTGAACCTCCGCAGCGAACGGCGTCTCTCTAGTCTCAACCAAGCTTTATAAGAGGGCAATAGTCCCCCTGGAGACGGCTCAGAATGCGACCTCCATGCGATGGTCCCAATGGTTCTAGCGCTAGAGGAAAACCCTAGAAACGCCACCGAAGCTTGTTATTGGCATGAAAATCCCTATCGGCCGGTTGATAATGACTACTGCTGCTTGCTGGGGCCTCGGTTGGGGCTACTAGACCATCGTGGGCTATGTCGAGGGCATCAGACAACTACAAGTGGTGATGGTTCCGATTTTTCGGCATCAGAATCACTCGCTGCCTTAGAAAAAGAGGCTATCTCAGTAGCTGTCTTGGCAAAGGCTCAGGGTTCACGTCGTTTTGTACTTTTTGCCTTTTTGACTTTTGCTCATTCATTTTCTTTGTTCGTTGACCTTGTCTAGTGTGTGGGCTTATGCAAAAATAAGACCAGAATAATATAGAATAATAGTAATCCTCCTACCAGGCCCACGTGGGGCGACCAACGCCAGTCGGAAGCCGGCAAGCGAGTCAGAAAGTGGCTCCGGGTTTCATCCTCGGCCATGGAAGAAAATGCGAGAAACCCAGCTGGGACGGAGTACGAAGTACTTTTTTACTTTTGCTACTTTTTACTTCATGGGTCGGGTATCCCCGGACCTGTCCCTGGTTCCAGACATTTTTCTCATTGCGTCTTGCTTGGTTCCTTGGGTTGATCCTCGTATCGGGCGACGAGTGAATAAGAATAACATTGACAAGAAACTCTGTTGACAATGTCGGAAAGCTACGTTGCCCGATGTTGCGCTTGGCTGTGGTGGCGATAAACGGGCGCAGGTAGAAAAATCTCCGCTTCCGGCCACGTTTACGAGTGGCACTCAAGGTGGCACTTGTTGTGCGCTATCGCAGGCACCAACGATGATGGTCTCTAAATAGCTCCTGTGCTCGTTGATCTATAAATTGCAAACCTGCCCTTATCGCAACCACTATCGGGTTGGGTCGGTCCATGGTGCGGAGTCCCGGTAAGAGAAAAAGGGATAATTAGGGTGATCACCTCGCGACGCGCCACGGTTACAAGGCGGGAGGATAAAGAAGCTTCGAACCTTTCGAAGCACGGTCTGCCTTCGGCTTGCCTCTTTAAGAAGGAGGATCAATCTAAGCTGGTGGAGATTGGATCTCCAGGGGAGTGGATGACAAGAGTCAGACACGGCCCTGGATCCATGGTTACGGATTTCGCGGGCCGGACTAGATACGGAGGACTTGCCCGTATGCCGTAGATTCGTGGAAAACACGATGATCCTTTTCTGTGCGTCAGGTTGCGTCCTTTTTAGTCCTTCTAAAATCTTTGCTAGTTCTGAGTCTGTTCACGGTGACACTGTTCTTCAGCCCTATCACTCGTGGAGCGCGCAGCTGGAAAAGAAAACCGCGCGGTGACATCCACCTGGTCCCATTGTAGTGGTCCAACACTCCTCTCTCGACAAATGGTATCTATGGCATTGGCTGCAATCTGTGTGGACGCTACTCGGCTAATTGCATGTCCTGTGTAATGAGCTCAGTAGTATAACTTGGTTGGGTGTGCCGAGTCAGTGTCCTATAGAGATGGCGCGGCACAGCGAAGAGATTTAGACTCTCGTCTGAGATTCCCGAACCGACGCGAGGCGGGGGTGGTCATGAGAGTTTGGGGGGGGGGGAAAAGCACAAAAAGTGTACCAGAGCTCAATACCCTTGTCTGTTTTCCCAATGTCTTTGTTCGAATGACTGGCAGGCAGTGGAGTGAAATTCCTGCGTGACTAGTACTATGGTGGCGTACTTTAGGCTGTCCAGTTGAAAGACAAGTTACAACATCGGGGGTCACCTCCCTTTCGGATTGTCGCCCCGCCCTGCCCGTAAAAGATCGCCTCAATTACCAAGTCCTTGGGAGGCCTGGGGGATCCTATCACATGTGCTCTATTGCCGTCGACCACCCCTTATACGTAGTACTAGTCCCTGGGGTACTGGTTGGTGTCCCTCCCAGGCAGAAATTTGGGAGGCGGCGTCCCGAGTAATTGGTTGGGACTTCTTCCACCATGGCAACAAGAGCCTAGTTAAAATTGCCAAAACAAAGCCAAAGAAAGCATAAGGGCCACCCCCGTCGACATCTATGAATAGCTCCATCCTACGCCTCGTGCTCAAAGTCCAGGGAGCTCAGGGGCTCATTTAGTCAGCGGGTTCGTATTTCCCCTCACGCCTCCTCAATTCCCCTCACCTCCCCTCTTATGCCAAGAGCAAAACATCCGGTGGAAACGGCAGGATTCAATATACTTGATCCTTATCATACCCTTATTTTGACCGTTGAATGCATCGCGTGGCGCACGAGCCCTTCGTGCGCAAGCTAGGCAGGCCTACTGGCAATTCGACTGCTGCTTTCAGACCGTCGACGCATCAAATAAATTAGCGAACGTGGGACTAAATAGCATGCCATGAGGGGGTTTGGCCCTGTTGGCTCGTGCTCGTTCCCGAGCTAGGCGTGCTGAAGACTGGAGTGTGGTGCGATTGATTTGACAATGCAAATCACATCTCGCACTGGCAGAACTGGGATGACGCGTCTGAGTCAATCCAAGCAAAAGGCGCACATTGGCACTGCTTGGCCAGTTTTCCTCTCCCCGGGTTTTTTCTTCGCACTGGCAGCGAGAACTGAAAATCCTCAATCGTTTGCAGCGTCGCCGAGACTAGCAAATATACTTGCTTCCGAATAATGCGCAACATCTATCCCACTATCCCATTGACTAATAGGAAACTTAATGTGCCATCCTCGCAATTCTTCCAGCACCGTTGCTACTAGCTACAATCAGAAGGTGTTAATCGTGTACGGGTGGTTTAGCTGGCTAGTGCATATATGCGCGCTAGCTGTTCCCTGGACATTAGCTCAATGCTGGCTATGCTCGCAGTTTCCGTCCACATTGATCCTCGATCCTCACCTCGATGTGTACACTCAAAATTCGGCCAAGCCAGAGGAACGATGCGGTGATGATCCGACCGAGTGGATTTCATGAACTACTCTTCATAGCTGTGCCGGTGCCTGCCTAGGGGTGGAGTAGCATAGAGAGGGAAGCTCTCCTGTTCCTGGCCCCTTTACCCCTTTAGTCACTTCTGTTCTGTCGATCATGAGTACTATGTTCTATTTCTACTGATAACTAGGGATGATATAATGTACAGCGTGTTCTCATTCTGTCATTATCAACCGGCCTGCACGGCGAATCTCTTAGGCGACCCACTATCCCCCTTGTGAGTTTCCTAAATGGGTATACAATCAATGTTTCACGGCGCGTCCTGCAGCGGGGAGGGTCTATCTCCGCTCGGTATCAATGCTGTCCGGTCCGATGCGTGCTACGTTATCTTTGAGTGCATTTATGGGAAATTTTTGGATTACGTAGGAAATCGTGCTCGGTCGCGAGCAGCCGATACTATTGCTGTTTATCCGATAGTTTCTTCTTGTAGGGTTGCATTCGATCAATTTCGACTATATTAGTAACTATCTGGACTCGCGCATGCCTACTACTAGCGCTGCTGCAGTTATGTGTTAGACAGGGTTGAATGGTAGAATGATCGCTCGACGAGGGCATCCAGTTGGGGCTTGGGGAGTTGCTAAGTACTAGTACCAGAAAGGAGACCCGAAATATATACATTCAGTTTATCCAGGTCAATGGCTCGGTCAATCAATGATTGAACCATCACAAACTACTAAACTAGACTGTCAATCATTGAGATCAACGCTATGCCTTATAATATGCACATATTATTTCGTAATAGGACTCGCACCTCGTAGCATCAGGCATTTTCTGTAGCATGTTAATGCGACAAGCTTCAACTTCCCTACGCGCAAGAGGATAGTGGTAGAGCTCATATAGGCAAAGCAGCCAGCCTCTTTCAAGCGACAGGCAAGATGGCCGAGCGGTCTAAGGCGCTAGGGTCAGGCTATCTGATCAAACATGTTCTTCGGAGCATTCCTAGTCTCGAAAGGGGCGTGGGTTCGAATCCCACTCTTGTCAGATCTTTTTGCATTTTCTTTTTGCTCCATCCGATATACAACCACGTCACCTGATACAGAATGAACCGATGCAATGATTTAATTGTTTCTAATGGGTTAGAGGGTTCATTCACCCAATGTCTAGCGCTATCACTCCCCCCTCTGCTTTCACGAATTGATCCAGTTCTCCCGCCCATAACAATTTCAACAAGGGTCCCCAAAACAATCAATAGCGTAACCTAGTCTCTACATATAAATTTCCAGATATCAACAAATCCTGCAAGTAAATCCTCTCCGATGAATCTAACAGCATCCGAGCTCAGCCGCCGGAATCATCTTCCCAACCCACAACCACCCAAACCTTACACACTGCTCACCAAAGCTAAACACAGTCTGGCCAAACCTACATCCCACCGCAGTCATGGTTGTGTCATCGTGGCGACTGTCCGGATTCAAATATAAGAGGACCTAAACACCAAGTAATATCTCCCAACAGTAACAGCCATTATTGGTCACTAGGTTCATACTGCATACATCATCATCTAACTCCCAAACCAACAACCATGCCGAACCCAAGTCTAAGTTACGGAAATGGCATGTCATCCGGAGCCAAGTGAGCCGCACCCTATCCCTTCACCTACACCATCGTATACTAATGATACCCGATGGGTTGATAGGTCCCGGAATACCGCTTTCCTAACCATGTTCGCGGTTATCTCCGGCGCCTTGCTCACATTCCGGATGCAGTCGCCACGCAAGGAGCAGAGGTACTCTCCCGAGGGAGACCAGCAGGCTATTGATGGGGAGAATAAGCTTGGGCGTTCGATGTTCGTCTCTGATGGGGATCGCGAGGCTGTTAGGGGTGGGAAGCCCGGAGAACCGAAGGTTGGTCGGGCGCCGCATGAGGGGTTGGGTGGGCGGTGATGATGTTATATGAATGTGTGGGATGCATGAGGGGGAGATATCATGCATGGCCATGTTGCATAACGTTGCTTTGTTTCTTCGTTGGGGTTGAAAAGTAGGGCATGTGCAAATAGGTCTGGTACCTTGTACTTGTACATTGTGTTTGTTCTGGTCATGCATAGAATTTTTATTTTCTTGGATATATCGAACGCATGTTATTATTCTATGCTGGCTCTCTGCGACCCTTTAGATGGTTCTCAGTTAGGGTTTCTGCTCCGTGGCATCCTCCTTCAGCACCCGGGCTGATACCAGTGGACTCTCGTCCAAGATCCGCGTGAAGTCATGAGCGTCGACACAGGCCTGACGGGAATTGAGCACGCTGGGCTCCGCGCGCCTGAAGACGTCATTCTCGTAGACGTCCAATGCATCTCGCAGCGCTTGTGTCGACATGGATCTGTTTGAGCGATTGATTAGTATCTAGTAGTACATGCCGCGAAGCGCTGATACACACCCTAGCGAACGCATATCCACACGTCTAGTCAGATCCAGTACATCAACGATGGCATTATTGGCCCCTTCTCCGCGGTCTAGATACTACTGTTAGAATGCAGTTCTCTCATCCAGCACAGCACAACACTGTATGAACATACACATCGTCATCGTATGCGCCGAATCACCCATCAGCACAACCCTGGGATGTGAGCGATTCTGCAGCGGTCGGAACATCCAGTCCGCGATGCGGATTGACCGTGCCTCTGTGTCCTCAGGTAACCCGTAGACCAGGGTCCTGAATGGCTCCGCCCAATTTGAGGCCAAAGATTTCATCAGGGCGATTCGTTCCCTGTTGTCGCTGGGGACTGTGATGTCCTTGGAGTCTGCCCATGATATTATGATCTGGCATTCGTATTTGTCCTTGCTGCTTTCTGCGAAGTTGTTGGGGTTATCGAGGACTAATTCGAAAATCAAAAGTTAGCTGCTGTGTACATGTTGGTTCGTGATGGGAGGGTGGTATATGCATACTGCTGAAGAACAGGAAGACGTTGGATTCAGGATGCGAGCCCTGAAAGATGAATGGATCAATTTCTGCTGCGCCGCCCATCTCCTCTGCTGTATATAGAGTAGCCGCGCCGAGGATCTGCACAGGCAGTGGATTCATCTCATGGCTGTCCGGGTACAAGATTTCGCGGGTGGGGGATCGCGATCCATCGCAGCCGATCAAGAGGCATCCTGTGTAGGAGGTGCCGTCTGCGAAATGCGCGGTGACGGTGTCGGCGGAGGACTCGATGTTTTGGAGAGTTTTGTTCCACTACAGTACTGGTCAGAGGGCCCGAAAGTGAAGAATGCATTTGTTTGCATCCTAGGTAGATGTGTCTTACCTGAACATCAAGCCCCGTGGCCACCAGTTGCCTCAATCGAACGCGACTGACCCGAATGCGCTCCGCAGCGGGGACACTGTACAACGCCGATCCTGTTTTGAGATCGAAGAACGAAAAGCGACCGGTGTCACCGCGGGCAGCCGCCGCCTTGTTAACATATGCCTCTGGGAGACGTTGCACAAGGTCGTCCGGTAGGAGTTCCCGCAGTGCAGGGAGCGCCCAATGGAGCGTCAACCCCCAACCCCCGCTTCGTGCATCGATAGCGGCATCGCGCTCGAAGATCTTGTAAGGGACACTGAGTTTCTGGAGGTGCTGAGCCAGAAGGAGGCCACTGATGCCTGCACCGACGATGAGAACGGGAAGATCAGCCATGATGGGGGCAGCGAGGAGGCACGGATGTTCGGTTCCACGGGAACACAGGTTCATCCCCTGACCCTTTTACCTGAAGACGCATCGCTGTAATACTGCTGTAATCAAGGGCCGGTTGCAATCGGAGGGTGACTTATGTGGCAGGTGCGCAGGAATTGGATTGGTGGAACCGTTATCGTATGGGAATGTGCCAATGGGAAGAGAATGTGAGGCATTGTTGGGATGGGGTCAGGCCGGCAAAACCATACTAGTTGGTTGGCCTTAAGGGCTTGCTGGTGCTAAGGCTCGTGTTGGTCTCTGAATAATTTATGCTTATCCTTTGCAGTTAGATTAGGGGCGCCTGATGAGATTGATGCGCATTCACTGATAACTAAGGGTCGCTTCTGGAAAGTATCATTACCTTGAATATGCAAGGAGTCAGAGACTCGTATCTGCGCTGCTGAGACAACGAGCAGGGTTGGTAAGGTTGACGACCAGTAGCTGGGATACAGCACGCCATTAGGCAATGAAAACCCTTTCCAACCTTAATTTACTCATAATTAAACCGTAATAACGACGCAATAAAGTTACATTGGATGTCTCGTGCCAGTCGAATGCGTGAGGTGAAACAAGGCCGGCCCTAAAAGAGCCTTAACAGCACTAAGAATGTTAGGCCGGCATCGCGTGGGGGACGGCGTCGTGCTTGAGACCCTAGCACCGGTCTCTAGCCCTACCACCGTGGTCCCTTCTCCGGTGTCAATCTGTCACAGTCCGTCCGCAGTGGATCATATGCCATTCTGATAGTGGTGTCAACTCTCTAATAGCTAGATAGTGCACCGGCCTGACGCTAATGTTCAGTTACTGGTTCGATTAGGCGGCCACATTACCCATTTCTCAACAACAGGCCAGCTGGCGTGTGCGGAACACAGCTCGGTGGCCGCCGGGGGATAACTTCCCGAGTGGACCACCATTAAGGTTTCACGGGACGCACAGGATTCCTCCTGATGGAGCTGGGCTTTATGGCCGGGAAGATCCCGTCGGGGGCGGTTGGTCTGGCCTGCTCTGCTCGACTCCATTGGCCTGTCTCTGTTACATCGGCCCAATATGATCCCGGTCTGATTTGATCCTGAGAAGCGTAAGCACTATTAATTTCGTAGTGCTAAGCACCTACTAAGATCCCTGCATTGCACTATTCAGGAATCGCCGGAAAGTTGCGCTTGATAGGAGAGAAGAAGAGGAAGACCCAGTGAGTGATTAATATACACAACGAAAGTTTAAGAGATTGGTTTCAAGGAATGGCGCCATCAGTCGATGGTAAGAGTACGGGCATCACTCTCTGGCCTCTGTTGTTCGCCTCTTCTCTAGCGACACGCGCAGCTCCACCGTCATATGAATGCCTCCCTCGTCGATTCCCCCACTCTCGAGGATAAGCTCTTCGCTGGGCGTGCGTTTGGGTTGCGGCGCCGCCGAAGTTGTCGACCGTAACTGCGAGCGCGGATCTTTCGACCAGGTTTGCAAAGCATAACTACGGCTATCGTACCCTTTTCGACCACTGTACGATCGGAAATCGCGCACCGCACCTTTCAGCAGAGGGGCGAGAAAGGGAACACAAGTTACAATGTTCTAATCCAATTAGTCAGTGGCTCGGGGCATCATCCCGTTCTCTCTCTCGTGGAAACCTACCCCTACATTGAACTCAATTGTGCCCCACAGCACCAGCATTGTCGAGTTCCCATCGCCATAAGCCACCCGATGGATTTGTGTGAGGCGGAGGATCGAGCAGATCGTGGTGAATAGCCCCAACAGAAACAGACAAACCACTCCCGCTTTTTGTGCTGTCTTGATGTTCAGTTGGAGCAATAGCGGAATGGGAAGGATAATGATGGTGATGTCGCAGATGATGGTGAAGATGGCTAATCCATAGAATGTTGGCCCTGCTGGGAGACAGGACCCTGAGATATCGGGATTCCAGGCGCGCTCAACCTTTTGATCGTCTTATCAGCAATCTAGCCCTGCGACTGGGGCAGATCTCTCTCTCACCGGCTGGCAGTCGAATATCAGAACTAAAGTTCCCGCAAGATGACCAAGTGTCGAGATGGCTATTACGGCCCATATAAGGATTCGGTAGTAATTCTTGGACGTTCCGGAAATCAATCGCAAATAATTGAGGCAAAGAGAAGCTTTGAACCCAGCAATTCCGAGTTGATAGAATGGGCGACCGGCATAATTCAGCTGTTGGTGTTTATCAATACTCTGTCTCGATCGGAATAGGCACGGCGCATACCTTTGTGTAATCCGGAAGATCCGCCTTGGGGCGCAGCGACAAGGGCAATCCAAGACCATATCTGCTTTCTATTGATCCTTAGCATTTGTTGTGTACTGAAAGCTTGTTCAACTCACGAGCGATGCACAGTGCGCTGTATATGATACTGAAGGCCTGGCACTAATTAGCGGTCGGATCGTCTACCACCAAAGGAAACCCACCATAGTCACCAGCATCACAAAGTCAGACGCTTCCAATCGGCGGGCATTAAATCGAATCGCTAGGCGCAGGCAGACTGTGATAACCATCAACGCGGTCAAGCCCAGGCATACCCCTAAAATCAGGCGGTATTGCGACTCGGCCTCCACTTCAGGTGAGGCATGGTGCACCCAGCCCATACTGGCAGTAAATGTAGAGAATCAAGAAGAAAGAGAGAGGAGGCATGAGGAAAAGGGGATATTTGCGTAGTGATTATGCAAGTCGTAATTGTGCGCTGGCTGGAAGGAGATTTTCGATCCTGGGCTTCGCAGGATCATGCTGAAGCCCTACCACAAGGGGTAAAATCCTGTCTTTGGAGCTGGATGAGGGTTCAGAATCATGATCCTTCAGCTATTAACTTCGGTCATGCCGAGAAAACCGCAATCAATGATATGAATCCTGGTGGGTTCGCAATCAAAATCCCTCGGCGACCAGAACAATCCGGCTTGAATCGCGCGCACTAAAATCTCAAGTCCTGGTCTAGCGTAGACTTTCGAGCATCTGCAAATTTCTGCAAGATGAAGTGGCCAGGCAGTTATCTTGACAAATATATTATTACTACTGGAACCCAATGGCACCCCTGCGGCCAATCCGGTTGCACTTCCCGTGGTTTTTTGCCTGCAGGATCCTGCATGTAACCTCCCATCCCAGCATTCCTTTCTCTGACTGCTTCTAATTCTTCGATTATTTTCCCGCAACCCCCCTTGTATTTTCTCTTTGCTTTTGTTTCTGTTCTGTCCTTCGGCGACAAAATTAAAGATACAGCATGGAGGAGAAGTTGCCGGGTGCCTTTTCTCAGGCTCTGCCTGTGGATCGTACCGACGATGCTGTGGAATATCTTCAGGGCCATGCGGCCGGCCCCGACAGCTCTCAGATCGATCTGCGGGCTTTGCGTCGCAAGATTGATTGGCATCTGATACCTTTTATGTTCTCCTGCTATGTGCTGCAATTTTTGGACAAGGTCATGCTTAACGTAAGTCGTCGCGAGCTTCCAGCCAACACACCTCTCATTGACGCAAGGGGGGACACAGTATGCTGCCGTCATGGGAATGAAAACGGAATTGCACCTCGCGGGGAATGAGTACACCAACGTCGCAACGTGGTTCTTCCTGGCCTATCTGATCGCTGAGGCTCCCAATAGTAGGTCCATTTACCTCAACAAACATAAATACCGTGCTAATATCTATTCACTATCAGTCTACTGCCTCCAGAAGGTTCCCGCTGCCAAGTGGCTCGGTGCGAATGTCGCCCTCTGGGGAGTTGCTGCTGCAGCCTCCGCAGGTGCCAAAAACTATGCGACCCTCCTCACTGCCCGTGTCTTCTTGGGTATCTTCGAGGCCACAATTGGACCGTCGCTGATGCTCATCAGCAGTCAATACTATAAAAAAAGCGAGCAAGCACCTCGCTTCACCCTTTGGTATAACGGTTTGGGCGTAGCCCAGATCATTGGTGGTCTAGTATCCTTTGGCTTCCAACATGTTCACCACGGAGCCACCCTTGCCGGATGGCGCATCATGTTCCTGGTCATTGGCTTGGTCACTGTGTTGATTGGTGTTCTCACTCTGCTCTTCATTCCCGACACCCCGATGAAGGCCAAGTGGCTGTCTGAGGAAGAAAAGGTGGCTCTCCTGCAGCACGTCAGTGTCAACCAGACGGGAGTGTGGAGTAGCTCCATCAACTTAAAGCAAATCTGGGAAGCTGTGGTCGACATCCAGCTCTGGCTGTTGGCCTTGATCACCATACTCGTAAGAATGATTCTATTCCATCTTGCTCTTTACTCCAAGCTAATCTCGTGCCAGATCTCTGTTTCTAGCGGTGTCGTGACCACCTACTCCGCCACTCTCATCTCCGGATTTGGATACTCCGGTCCCATCTCCGCCCTTCTCAACATGCCCTCCGGCATTGTCAGTATCTTTTTCACCCTCCTGGTTGGCTTTGGTATCCGCAGAACCTCCCACCGCTGGGCGTGGAACGCCTTCTGCACCATTCCCGGTATTATCGGCGGTGGCCTCCTCTCCTTCCTCCCCAAGAGCAACAAGGCCGGTGTGCTCATCGGTATCTACCTGGTCAATGCCATTGTTGCGATCCTTCCCATCCTGTACCAGTGGACCATGGCCAACTGTGCCGGCCACACCAAGCGCGCCTTCAGCAGTGCACTGATCGCCGGTTCCTTCTCGGTTGGAAACATCATCGGGCCTCAAACCTTCCAGGCCCGCGATGCCCCTGAATATCGCCCGGCGAAAATTGCAGTGCTGGCCACCCAGGCAGCGGCAGCTGTCATGTCTGTCGTGCTGTTCGCATATTATGTGTGGGAGAACCGGAAACGGGACAGCCGGTACGGTAAGGTAGAGGATTCGATGGTGGATGAGACTAAGTGGGCTGGCTTGACTGATAAGGAGAACACGAGGTTTCGGTATGTGTACTGATTGTGGGAGGTGCTCAGTATTCCAGCCACTGTGTATAATAGGTGATGTTACTGTCATCTGTTTTTATGAAGAATAACAGTGTTCCTGGGCATGCGGGTTTGATTTCCCACAAGTCTATCATTGCCGGTCATAGTCCGGTTCAAGTCGATTATGCGTACCACTTGTTTCTCTTCAGTTGGAAAAACCTCGCTTTCCGGCCCTTTCTTTACACTCGGGTATGTCTTAAAATACGAACTATACATCTAAGACATTTAGAGAATAGTGATACAACACCATGTAATCCACTTCACTCGATACCTCTAAGATGATACAGGAGTAATCAGCCTTGCTTCAGGCAGTGTCGCATGCCCCAGTACTCAATCTGATTGGATCTGAGCGAAACTTTGAGCGGTTGATCAAGCTGTCAAACAGTGGTACGTTAGTACAAGCTAGCTCGAATCTCGACGTCCTGCCGTTAAATGGAAGCCCAAGAAGATAGTGTACGGTGGGCCGTGGCTAGCCAATGAATCCTGGACTGAACAATTCATTAGTTCCAGTATACTCGCTCAAGCCCAGGCTGTGGGCGCGTCAAGGCGAACCTGGGAAGGAGCGTGCGCACAGTACTACTCCACGCCAAGCGCCGACAACCTCGTCCAGATCAGTTTCCTAAACTGGAACTCCCTAAAATAACTCACTAGTACTAATATGGAATAGTGCAAAAGGCATCCGCTCGCGCTCCACGTCGGAATGGATCTCTCTGGATCTCATCATGTATCTTCCTCCAATAGCCGCCCACTCCTCGGCGCCATCTCGTGAGCTCCCGGTATGCCCATCATGAGATATCAAGCCGCACGGTGTGCTCACCGATTAGGCATACTGCTCCCCACACATCCAAACCCCCTTTCACTTTCTCACCCGCCTCCTTTCATCCCTCGCATCTCCCCTTCACAAGGCGCTATACGCGCGCCATATCGGACAGTCATGTCATCGGCAGATTGGACCGCACCCTTGCGGGATTTTTCTTCCAAAGATCCCCCAGTATTTGAGCCTTCTGTAGAAATCGAGGAGGAAACTCTCCCAACCTACCAGCCGGAAAAGTACTACCCGGTACGACAGGGAGAGGTACTCGATGACAGGTACCAAGTGCTGGCCAAGCTCGGTTACGGAGTGACATCAACTGTCTGGCTAGGTCGCGACCTTCGGTACGTTTGGAAGGATCCCTCCACGGAAAGGCTGCCCCTAACGAATGTAAAATCGTAGTGACTCCAAGTATGTGGTGCTCAAGATATATATCACTGGTCAAAAAAAGAACCATGAGCTGGAGATCTACAACCGCATAAATGCTGTAGAAGTTGAGCATCCAGGGAGTGATCTTGTTCGCAGGCTCTTCGATTATTTCACCATCACCGGGCCCCACAGCCCTCATGTTTGTCTCGTTCATGAACCCATGGGTATAAGTGCAGATACACTCCTGCAAAAATACATTCCTGGACAAACAATGACTCTGGACGAAATGAAGTCTTGTATCAGGCAGCTACTGATCGTTCTGGACTTTCTGCACTCTGCTGCTCATATAGTGCACACCGGTAAAAACTCCTACTTCTACGATCATAATTGTTAAACTAACCAAGAAAAGATCTTCAATTGAAGAATTTGCTTCTCCCTATCCCAGATATCAAGACACTCGAGGATCTCGAAGAGCGGGAAGTCAATGATCCATCACTCAGAAAGGTGCTCAAAGACAGAACAATCTACCTATCTACTGTCGACAACCCCGGGGGGAGTGGCCTACCTCTACTAAGTGATTTCGGCGAAGCCCGCTTTGGCGATGTCGAGAACAGTGATGACATTATGCCGAATATGTACAGAGCGCCTGAAGTTGTTTTGAAAGAGAGCTGGGACTACAAAATCGATATATGGAATGTTGCTATGGTGGTAAGATACCCCCTCAGAACTATTCTACACCCTATCTCCATGCTGAATCTTTTATTGTAGGCATGGGACATCGTAAGTCCTCGTCACATGTTCGACGGCAGAAATGCAGATGGCATCTTCGATGACCGAGTACACCTTGTGGAGATGATAGCGCTCATGGGACCTCCTCCGGCGAGGTTCCGCGAGCGGTGTAAACTGGCTTATGTTTTTTGAGATGAACAGGGTAAGGCCAAATACCTTTTCAACTCAAGTCCATCCTAACTAGACATCTCTAGGCAATTGGAAGGACTTGGCGCCGATCCCGGATATTTCTCTTGAAAGTTTAGGTACCGACATTCCAGGGGAGAATAAAGAGGGGTTCTTCCGGTGGCTGAGAAAGGCCTTGCAGTGGAATGCAGAGGATCGACCGACTGCGACAGAATTCTTGTTCGATGAGTGGTTGATGGAGGGACTCAGACGGCCGAATACTGAGGAGACGAAGTCCTAAGACGGGTGCATCTGCTTGTTCGTCTTTGATATATGACATCTCCTTGCTTACAGCTGCATGGATAGGATATCACTATACAGATAGTACTGTAACATTATATCTGATGGCCTTAACTGGCCTCAAATGGAACATACTTTCTACTCAGCCGATATACAACAGCCCTAGCCACTAGCGTCTCAGCCCACCCGACCACGAACCCACGTTCACCACCAACACCTTCTCTTAATATTGCACATTCCCCAAATCCTCCGCATTACTCTTCTCCCAAGGATACCTCTCCTCCAACGACCGAAGCAACTCCAAATGCTTCGCACTCCTCGGCCGAATAGACACATTAAACGGCGCTGGGTGACTGATGACTCCCGGGAGAAACTCCGGCTGAAGGTCTTTGACGTCCCCATTCTCCACTGGCTTCGAGATCTCAAAGACAGCCAGGGCTTGGGCGATGGTGAAATACACATTTACATCAGCTAGAGTCTTCCCCGGACAGATGCGACGACCGAATCCAAATACAAGGAAGTGGGGGTCTCGCTCTGGTTTGGGGCCTAGGAACCGTTCGGGTTTGAATGTCATCGGGTCGTGGTATGCTGTTGGGTCGTGGGTGAAGCCCCTGTATGCGTTGCAATGATGTTAGTTGGTGGTGAGAGTTTTTTATGGGTCAGAGAGGGAGTAGAGGGGAGGAACTGACCATATATTGGCAAGTATTGACGATCCTTTGGGGATGAAGTATCCTTCGCATACATCATCCTCGGTCGAGGTGTGGGCAATGTTCGTAGGTACGACTGGATGCCATCGGAGCGTCTCTTTGACCAACGCGTTGATGTAAGGTAGTTGTTCCCGGTCTTTGTACTGCGGCAGTCGGTCTGTTCCGATTACGGTGTCGATTTCTTGTTGTGCCTTACGCTGTGCTTCAGGGAAAAGAGCCATTGCGAGGAAGAAGCTGGCTATGGAGGAGACGGTCTGTTGATGCAAGAGTAAGTACAGCATTGGATCGGGAGCAAGCAGGACAGAGGGTCCTCACCGTATCTGCACCCCCGGCGTAGAGCGATCCAGCAGACCATTTGACAGTATTCTCTTCTTCGGATCCGGGCTCGAAAGCACTGCTCTCGAGAAGGTTGGAGAGAAAAGATGGTACGAAGCGGCCACTGCGCATCTGTTCTTTCACGAATGCATATGGGATATCGCTGAATGCTGTGACATTCTTTCGATAGCGTTGTGCGATCTTCATAAATTCCGTACCTGGAAACCAGGATGGGAGATATTTCACTGGTCAACTAGTCAGTCTGGTTTGTTCCTGTATAGCTGCAGGCTATGGGCTTACGGAATGGGAAAAAGTCCACGGCCCATGTGGCTGGAAGCATGGCTATCGAAAAATCCTCCATGGCCTTGTCGGCCAGATCAACCAACGGGTCTTGATCATGAGGTTCGATGGTATATCCATATCCTACTTTTAGGATGATTGCGCCCGCCTCTCTGGTGTTTTTGTTCAGTCTTAGTGGCTGAAGGCAATGTTTGGTAAGGGGTAACCCACTTGCGTATATGCTGCATCAATTCGTCCGGCGCATCCAGTACCCTCAGTAGAAACCGACCCACCTCCACTACCTGGATCTCATTGAATCGAGCGACCGAGTTGTTGGATCCGATCTCCCGATGCAGGTTCTTGCGCGTTGCTCGGATGCGCTGAGACTGCTTCACCGCTCCGAGAACGTTGTTCCAGCCCGCCCTGTACAATCCGTCAATTGATCTGCAATATGATAAGGTAGGTCTTGTTGTCTCACATCTCTGCGAAGTGTTGCTGTGGACGCGAGGAGTGGATTGACGATCGTGACTCAAGTAGTTCCACCGCTAGTCGGGCGTCGTTCAAGATGATGATAGTTTGGCCCATGATGCTGAGAGAACTGATTGGGCCTGTTGGCAGTCAGACATGCAGCCCTTCGTTTCAAAGGTACTTGAGTACTTGATCGTACCATAGCGATCCTTGTGCTTTAGCCAGTGTTGCCAATCTTGCTGGTTTGGGTCGGGCAAATCCCAAAGATTACCCACGATGGGCTTCCGTCGAGGACCGGGTGGTAGAGGCGGATGCTTGCTCTTGCGAGTAAAGAATGAGAAGAAAATGTATACGCTCGTAAGGGCGATGAGGGCGCCCGTCCATACCGTTACTGGCATGATGGCGATGGGGGGAACTGAGGATTATGGCATCGAGGAATAAAATGGACTGCTGAGCGAAATCCCGACTGTTTTATATTGGTAGGGTAGCTGAAGGAGGGGTCGTGCCGGTATTGCATGATTAATCTGGTTATCATTGGCTTCTGTATTATCGCATCCACCTTCGTTCAGAGATGCTGCATGGATGGTGCATTAGTTCAACTGCTCAGCTCTCGGGTATGCATTATGGTTGGTGTGACCTGGACCAGCGGCCTCCGATCAAGGTTGCAGAACGCCATCGTGATGCTTGCTACGGTCGCTTCTGCACTTTGAAGCGTGGGATCTTGTGATTGCCCGGTGTTTCTTGGTGGCTGAGTCTTGTCGCAGGATTTTTGTCGCTGATGCTTACCTGCTTCCCCGCAGTTGTAAGGATATCTGGCTGGACAGGTTCAGGTTTTCGTAAGGCTCTTGCACGTAACTGAGAACTTCGGTTCTCTCAAATGCGCTTGGATTGCATTTGGGTGTGGAATTAAGTGCCTTTTCATCGTATCATATTTGTTGAAATTGGATCACATCTTGGTGAAGTCGCCGGCTCTCCTCATGTTTGGGTAGAGTATCTCTCTTTGATGATTGAGGGTTAGGCAATACCTTGGATAACCAAGTTGAGCAAACCACTCAGTACGTCCGAGGAATATATTTCCGAAGTTGACTTGTCTACCTGAACAGTGCCAGTCATCATAAACAACGTTCAATCGTCGTTCACCAATTAGTAAAAACTACTCTAGACATCCACTTTCTACTCAAGCATATAATACTAAGAAGTCTATGACCACCAGCAGCCCTCCATAGGATTCTGAACACTCCGACAAGCTCTCTCCTCGATCCACTTTGTGGCATGGCTTATATTATATAGCGAGTGTAGACCCCTGTCTTTCAACCAATGGGGCTGTGGTTTAGTGGTATAATATTCCCTTAGCATGGGAGAGATCCGGGGTTCGATTCCCCGCAGCTCCATTTTTTGTAATTTTTATTTTCTTTTGGTTGTTGTTCTCTTTTGCCAACGTAGTTAGTACCCACTCCTCCCGAGATGGAGACGGAGATTGGCATTATCCGAGACTCACCTCTGTCACCATGCAGACATGCTCTTCTCCTTCAGAGTACTCACCCAATTATCATGGCTCTTAAAATGTATGCCGCAATTGTCTGGCCAAGTAATTCATACCAGTATGTGTTCAGTAAATCGGAGTAAATCATGCAATATTAGCCTGCCTGAAGCATGATATAGTAAGTCAATCTGTGAAAAAACCCCACAACAACAACGTTCAATCCCGAAGGTCATATTCTATTCCAAGTCATTCAGCCCTAAGCTAGTGCAAAAGTCCCACATCTAGCCTTCTCAAATACCACGACAATACATAGTATTTATATATAAAATCTGATCATGCCTCTCTGGGTCGACATGAAAAACTCCCCGCATCATTCACATCCCCATGCCCATCATACACAACCGTCGCCGGATACCGACACAACTCCCTTGTTACCTCCGTCCCATCCGCCCTGACAGTCGCCGCACTTAACCGATCAGGAGGACTTCCCTCCTCCACCCAGCGCACCAATGCGCCCAACGGATCAACTGGTTTCGGCCCATACCCGGCCGAGCAGTGTCCCAGCCCAGGGGCAAGAAACACTCGATAGAACTCATCCGCATCTCCACCGTTCTTCCTATCAACCCTATCCCAGAATGCATTCGTCCACGACGCTGGGATCAGCTCATCCGCCAACCCATGCCAGGTCAACAGCTTCCCCCCTGCGCGACGGAAATCAGAGAGAGTGAAATCATCCGAGCCGAAAATGCCGTTGTAGGCGTCCAGCGTGAGACGGTAGACGGTGTCAAAGTCATCGAGATTCATATCGAATACATTGTAGCTCGGGTCCCGAAAGACAAAGTTCTTGATCCAGCCGATGATGGGAAAGAAGGGGACGGGTCTGACGATCGATCCGTTGATTACTTCGGTGTTTGCCGTTCCGCGGAATGAGGCGCCCGGTGGGAGTCCTGTCCAGAGGTTGGGGTGATCTGAGAGTTCGGGACCTTGCAGGATTTGCTGGACGAGGGTGGCGTGCTGGGCTGTGATGGTCACTGGAGAATCTGAGGCCATCTCCGGACATGGTACCATTTGGCCGACGAGTGTTTCGGGATCGAAAGGGCAGCTCTGTGGGTTGTAATCTGATATTAACCCGTCCGTGGCTCCATCGAGTGGATCACATTTATCGATGATTGCTTTTAAGAATGTGTCAAAGACGCACTGCGGCGGCGCTGCGGACTGGAACATATGCACCGGCGGCCAGGACATATATCCGATCAAACGTGGGAAATTGAGGGCCGGTGCACCGGCGAGGATTCCGTCAAAGAGACTCGGATACTTTGCTGCGGCAAAGTATCCCTGTCTGCCGCCGGTAGAACAGCCGCTCCAGTAGGAGTACTTTGGCGGAGATCCGTAGAAGCGCTCGGTAAGGGTCTTCCCGATGATAGTCATGTCATAGATGGAGCGATGGGCGAAGTTCTCTAGCAGAGCGGTGTTGATGGAACCGTCGGGACGCAGAGCCCAGGCCCCCGTTTGGGGATTACTGGTTCCGTTCAAGGTGAGGCCGCCATCAGTTGCAGCTGTTGCGTAGCCCTGGCTGACTGGGCGAGCTGAGGCCAGGCCGATGATGCCGGCTGCGAGGCCGCCACCACCAGTAGCCTGGAACCGGCCGTTCCAGTCGGCGAGGGGGAGCCAAACGGAGACAGCGACAGTGTCATTTTCGCCAGGGTGAGTGAGGGCGATGGAGATGTTGCAGAAGTCGAGATTGTGTGCGTCTGCGAGATTGTATGGCGGAGAGGCTGCGACGCTGTAGTTATGGACCTCTTGGCGGGTCATGGATATGATGTCAACCCCGGGAATATGCGGCAGTGTTAAACTGCCGCAGGGCTGTTGTTTGGGTCGCCAAAAGTAGGCGAGCCATGCTATGAAAAAGTTGGTGAGGTAGACTAGCATGATGAGAGAAGATGAGATTTCCTTTGCGGGGTTGAGGTAAGGGATCGTGGGTTGGAGGGGATGGAGTTTATTCTTATAAGCTCGGTAACTCCGGCTCATTTCTAAGCGCCCGAATCCTTTCTCATGCAGGCTGGAATGGGGGTTCGCAAGACGCATGTAAGCATCAAGGACCATCCAATAGCATTAAATCCTCAATACTCCTTTGCATAGCCATTCAGTGTCCTTATCTACCCCTTACTGAACCCCATGTGTGCTCTTCTTTTCGTTAAATTTTCTAATCTAGTTGACTTTATGCTTGTTCATTTCGGGGGATTTATTCTTTGTGAATGCCTATATAGGCAGGATCCTTCGCTGCTGCTGCCTACGTGCCCTACCTACTTCTTTCCTTTGGAGGATCTTGAGGATCGAGGTGAACAATAGATGCAGTCAGATACTCCGTTGCCTTGAGATAATTTATCATCGTCAGCTAAGAATAATCTAATTCATATTCTTATACCCAATTAAGCCTGCCAAGTAGGATGCTAGCTATGCAGGTGCGTCAGCTAAAACCATAACCCCTAACTCCGGGCCGATATATAATGACACAAACCCCGAGACCTTGCTCAACGCCATAATCCGCTCCAAATGCCGCCGCTAAGCTAATATATGCGCCATACCATAAAACCAAAATCTAAAACAAGAGCCAGACTACTGCATGTTGACATGGAACAGATACTTCTGCTGGATCTGCGCCACATCATACACGATGTACTCATTGTACATCAGCCCCCTCGAGTTGGCATTAGTGTTTGGCACCTGCACATCGGGCATCAACACCCCCTTCAGATCTTTGTTGACACAGCCAGCGTCTTTCCATCCTCCAGGGATTGAGCGACCGCGACCAAGGGTAGCAATCTTGGCCTGCCCTTTCGCTTCCTGGCCCGCGTTGTAGCTTGCCGTGTCCAGCTCATACATGGGATTGCCGACCTCAACGTCACAAAGGAGGAGTAGCCCCCGGTTTCCACTCCCCCAAGAGCAGCAGTAATTCGCTGACTTGGTCGACATGTCCGCGAAGTAGACACCTTTGCCGAACATGTACCCGCTGACGGGGGCCTCGGGCGGTGCAATACGTAGACCCTGGCTTAGGATACCACCGAAATTGGTGCTGCGGGAACCGTGCCACAAAAGACGGCGACAGGTGTTCTTGATATTGGAGTACTGGGATGACTGGAATCGGTCTTTTTCGCCTTGGCGCTCGATGCGGAAGATGTTTATGACCTGTTACGGTTAGCATGGTTCATTAAAGAAGGTAAAATCAGATGCGAACCTTGTATTGAATGCCATGGGTGTGACCGCGAGACTGGTTGAGGTAGTTGGCCAGCTCAATAAATTCGGTTGATGTGTGTTCCACTGCTTAGAGTTAGTACTAGTCAAAGGGACATGGCTTTAGGAATAAGACGTACATGGTGTCATCTCTTGCATATTCAAGCCCTGAAACTGACGGTCGAGAGGGTGAACTGTATCGGTGTTCTTGGCCTCTTTCATAATATTGTTCGCAACTTCCATATCCGTCAATGCCTCCAGCAGTTCGATCTCTTTCTTGAGCAATGTGTCGTTGCCCAACACTGGGGGCCTGTTGCGTCCAAACGCATGGGGGATCACGGTAAAGTATAGGTTGCTGAGGTGCTCCACTGCGGCAGCAAAGCTAGTATCATATCTTGTACTCGCCAGGGCAGGCGTGGCGATAAGCTCTGACAGATCCTTCAGTGCCTGAAAACCGTTCTGGAGGGTGCGCTTGCTCAGTTTTCCCAAAGGCAATTTCTGAGCGTCGTAGGACATGGAAGCCATGGTGGACTGAAAAAGATCCTTGTTGAAGATGAATGACACGAGGTCCTGGATAGGTGGCGATAAGGTGCATTTCACTTCCTCTACCTTGGGCTTGGTGGGTTTCTTCGCGACGACTTTGTCATCACCCTCGTCTTCGTCTTCCGTGTCGTCCTCGTAGTTCTTTTCAATGAAGGTATATTTACCCTTCTTTGGTGGATCCAAGCGTTTCTCCCAGGTCAAGCCTGACTTGTCCTTGAACTTTTTCTTGAACTCATACTCTGCCTCATCCAAGTTGCCATTACCCAGTAAAGCATTTTGTCCATGTTCGCCCACCCGGCCCCAGTGGGTCCAAGTTTTGAACTCGTTGTTTCTGTGGAGAAGCTGAATGCGGTAGAATTTGTTGTTATTATTGGTCGCACTCGTCTGATTAAGTGTCGCATCCCAGATGAGGCCAGTGGGATCAATGTATACGGCATGAGTTACTATTAACGGTTAGACCTTCCTCCGACTTGATCAAGAGTTGGTGCCTATTACCTCGAAGAGGACATATTTCATCAACAGGAACGCTGATTCCTTTGGTGCCAACCGTCTGTGCATCCTTGAGCTTCTTCGTACTTCCATCCTCATTGATTCCCAGAGCCTCTTCTAAGGTACGCTTCTTTGGACTTTCCGGTTCATCATCTTTCTTGACGTCGGAGCCCATCAGGAATTTCTTCTCATCCAACTTCTTTCCTTCACTGTCTGACTCAATAAGCCAGTCCAGGGAGACGATGTTGCAGGTGTAGACCTTGCGAGCCTGCGTGTCTAAAATTTGTCAGAAGAAGGGGTACAGACAGGGCTCGGCTTGTACTCACATTTGACACTCTTGTTGTCCACTTCCCTCTGGGTGGTCACTAGATGGGTGCAATCTTCTGTTACCGCTGAGCTGAATGTTCCCCCATGACGCTGAACGATAGTCTTCAGGTTTGCTGTTGTAAGAGCGTAGAGTCAGTATGTGACTTCTGGCGGTGAAGTCAGACATGCTCACCTTGTGTATAGCCGCGAAAGGACCCAGCAACGGCTATGACCAAGCCCTTGAAAGCTTGGCCGGTCATGATGATGAGTAAATGGGAGATGTGAGATGTGAGAAAAGATACAGTGAAATTGAGGGAATAGGAGGTAGTGAGAGTAGCGGAAAAGAGCAATAATGTCGTCAGATTCTAGTCAGGAGGATCAGAGGCAGAGGGGAGTAGTTCTGGATAGCGAAAGGTAATCGTGATATGATGCTTAAAGAAGACGGACAAGAGAGATGGGAGGAACATGATTATATAGTGGTGAGCATGAGGCGGAGATCTAGTGGAAGGTGATATTGTTTTGTCTGCAATGCCCCAGCCTGAGGCTCCTGTGGCTGCTGCTGCCTGAGCTCTGGGGGAATTGCCGAGCCAGATGGGATGTGATTGGTCGGAGCTTGGGTGGGCCTCCAGGCACCAGCCGCGCACGTGATTCTGCCTGTGCGGACTGCGGAGGGCTTGACTGAGTGCGCGAGATCTTCAGGGTCTAATTTATCAGGCAGCAAAGGACTCTATAATAGTAGGACCAAGCTACAGCTCTTGAAAGGACAGAGCATGAGAACGATAGAAAAAGGTAAGGCGGGAAAAAGAAGATAAATTTAGAAAGTGAAATTATAAGAGGTCTAAAATAGGATGTGCATGCCAAAAAGTAAAAGGAAAGTAACCAAGTCAGTCGCCAGTTTTGGCGCTGCTGGGAATCGAACCCAGGTCGAAACGGCGCTGCGGAAAACCACAACGTTTCATGATGACCACTACACTACAGCACCTTGATTACATAAATTTATTACTACTATTGCCTACATAGCTGAAGAGTACGGAGATGGCGGTAAAGGAACAAGCAAGCAGTCTGATAGCATCTGCCGCCAACATCTCAACACCGAATGTCACAACACTGCTACCAAACATTGTACGGGGTACGCGCGTCTAATCATTATCAATATTCCGATTATCCACATTAACATTAATAATGTACAGGGTATGAAAAATAGCAATCGCCCACATAGCTATATGCAAAACTTTTGTTAATTAATGAAGCCTTTAGTGCTCCGCGACTCCGTCCTCCTCCACCGGATCCTCTGCATGAGACTCGGCAACCTTGTCATAAAACGGAGCAAACTTGCTCCGCTTCCTCAGGTTCTTACCATAGAAATAGAAAGCAACCGGGATAGGCACCAGAATAGACGCCACGCAGCCCAGCAGCGTGGCAGCCCACTGAATGCCCATGTTGTCGAACATCTGACGCGAGAAGAGGGGGAAGCTGGCTGCCACCAGGGAACGACAGAAGGTGTTCGCTGCGATAGCCGATGCGGCACTGGAAGATTGATTAGTACAGGGTCCATCGGCAAGGGACAAGCCTAGGCAACTTACAACATCAGGTAAGTATCAATCAGATAGTTGAACAACTGGATGAAGATGATCAACAGTCCAAATCCAGTGAACAATCCACTCAGTGTGGGTACAATCCAATGGATACTCTTCGTGAAACCGGTCCAACCGAACCAGAACAGTCCTGCAGCGAAGAGCACACCACCGATAATCACAGGCGGCAAACGCCATTCAGGGACGGGAATGCCCCCATTGGCCTCTAACTTCTTGTTGTACCCCCGACTAGCGAAAACGATATAGGAGGCCGCAATGAACAAACCGACCACCATGCCGAATAACGTCAATCCACTAACACCAGCAGACATGCCGTACACGCCCTGGAAGACGAGTGTGTAGGCTGTCAGGAAGCAGTACAACAAGCCATAGATGAAACTGAGATAGACTGTCACCGCCAAAATCAATGGCTCGCCAAAGAGCAGCCGAAGGGGACGGGAGAAGTTGTTGACGAGCAACTCCCGCAAGTCAACCTCGATTTCCTCCTGCTTGGCGTGGATGCCCCAATTCTTTGTGCGACGGCGCAGTTCTGAAGCCTTTGAGACCAGGATAATCGGGGGATAGGATTCCTTCAAAAAGAACATGTTCAACACGAAGGCAGCATAGCCCATGAACGCGGGAATGTAGGCGGTCCAGCGCCAACCGAGGTACGATGAGTTGATGAAACCACCGATGAATGGAGCCAGAAGCGGACCCAGGAACACTGTGCTGGAGAACATGGCAATAGCGACACCACGGGTGCGGTTGTTATAGATATCGGAGAAAACGGCAGCCACAACCGCCAGCGGACAACTGCCAAAGACACCACAGAAGAAGCGACAGATCATGATCGTCTGCAGATCCTTGGCGACAGCGACAGCGGTATTGAAAATACCGAATCCCAACATAGCCAACAGAATGGGTGGCTTCCGTCCCTTCAGCTCGGAGAGGGGTGCCCACACCAAGGGTCCGGACGCATAACCGCAGATATACAACGAACTCGACAGGGTGGCGACTTCAATGCCTACACCGAACACCCGCGCAACGTTGGTGGTAGAGGAGCTGAAGATAGCCGAATCGAAGGTACTGCAGATACTGGTGAAGGCGAGGATGGCGCTGATGTAAATCCTAGGCGAGTCATAAGTCAGTATTCAGCCGATCAACATGCCTGTTATGCGCGACGGGGGTTGAGATGACATACTTCGTCCCCAATTTCCAGTTCTGGGGGTATAGAGGATCCTCGGGGCCGTCAAATTCGACGACATAGTCTTCTCGATCGGGAAGAGGCGGTGGATAATCCTTGTTGGCGCCCATGCGAGGTAAGGGCGCTCGTGAGGCGCGAGACTTGACGCTTTCACCCACGGTCAACTGATGCTGAAGCCGTTGGGTTTCGATCCTGCTTAGGGCATGGGAGGTGGCCGTGCGATGACGCTCTAGGTCGAGTTCAGTGTTTCGCGAATGGAGAGTGTGCAGCTGGGGATTGTATTCAATCGAGCTACTATAACTGGTCGAGCCAGTGGTGCCTGAAGATGATGGCCTCTCGAGGCCTTCTTCCTTGCTCGCGCCATTAGTATGGGGCCGAGCATCGACCTCCGCCATCTCTAGTTGCTCGTCGATGTGAGACATAATGACAGCCAGCGGGGAGCAGGATCTGGTCTGATCTGGACGACGGGGCCCTGGAGCCAGGGACAACAGGATTTGCTTGCACGTAGAGGGACCGACAGGGACAGACAAAGACTGAGCGATGGGGGTCTAGCCTGAATAATAAACGAAAACAGCTTACTTGCCTCCACTGGTGTGGCTCCTAGGCCAGCATCCGATTTATCCGTCCTGCACTCGGGAGACCCACCGTGAACGGCTGCCATTCCTCATTGCGATTGCCGATTAAATGATCACCGTGGACATGCCAGGAGGGTATCTAGGCGGTTATCTAGTTTAAAGGGGGAGTATATGACTTCCATGGTATCTGTTGAGAATGATGGTGGCACGTCTCGTTCATAATTCCCAATATTTGCCAGATTTCTGAGGGGTTGAGTGATCGCTGCCTGAGGCAGCAGATGCAGAGCCCCTCGAACGCCAAGGCTGAACTCCGCCTCCCTGACGTCATGCGCACGAGTCATTAGTCAGGCCTGCAAATCTTTTTGCAGGATTTGCATAGAATTTTCGCCTGGTTCGATCCGCCAGCCAGACCACTCTGGCACTATCGATCCGCTTCTAGTAATGGACGCCGTGCCCAATGGCCCCCAAGTGCCTGATGGTGAAGAACATGCTGCTCAATGTGGACATATGATCCATCAATGAACCCCTGACTATCATTTATTCGAGACGTATATACTAGTACTAGTTAGCATGCTCATGAGAAGTACAGTAGTAGTCATCTAGCGACTACCGGTGTACTGTCTATTGCTGGTCTAACCCTGATACCGCAAACTGAAAACGGACCGTGGACCATTTCAGCCTGCTGGGGGCTTATGCTTGTTTTGTTTTGGACCCAGTGTCCCCTTTTCACACCCATTTCTCGCCGGCCTTAGCGTCCTTGGCTAGTCTTAGCCAGGATCAGCTGGGTCAGGCACCGATTTGTAGGACATTCCAGCCCCAGTTGCTGGCCCCGTCGCACTATCCATCCATTGATGAACGCAATTTCCGTGGCTCGACCTGCTCGCACATCCTCCCGCATACTGCTGGAATTACTGGCCGTCTTCTCAATGTTCCCGATCAATTGCTCCTCAAGTCTGGCTACGGAAAATTGTTCCTGCATGTCGGGAAGACTCTGAAGCTCCGGAAGACGGCGGAACACCAGCGAGATCTCCTGGAGAAGCTGACGCTGCATCTCCTGCAGCTCGGGGTTAGCTAACAGCGAGCCGTTCCGCACATCCAGCAGTGCCGTCAATGGATTGACCACACAGTTGGTCGCCAATTTCAGCAGCTGGGCCTGGTGGAGCCCCATCCACGGCAGTTCGGAACATCGGACGATCGGTGCTTCGACCAGCCGGTCGATGAGAAATCGAGATTGGACGGATGCTGTTGATGGAGATGATAATGAGGATGCCTGCTGGCCATCGTTGACGATTCCCAGAGCACATGATCCGGTCAGCCCCGCCAGCACAGCTTCAAACGGCGCTTTTTTGTAGACCCCATGGCGCGTAATGCCAAACATGTATGTCGGTCGTGTCAGCGGGTCTGTGAATAGGCGCTCATTGAGCTCTTCGATCTGCCCTAGACCATTTTGGAAGAGACAGACAACGGAATGGCGTCCGAGCCGGTGCTGGATCGATCTGAGAGCGGCGATGGTTGCGCTCGCCTTGACCGCAACAATTAGGTGATGGATGGGCGATTCACCCTGTAGGAGTTCGGCGTCGTACCCGGTACTTTCTTGTGTTGGTCCGTCTTCTCCAATTTGGAGACGCAGCTTGCTCCCCTCAGAGAGAAAGCCGTGGTATGCCGACTCGCGATGGAGCAGAAGGGTAATAGGCGGGGGCGCGGGGAGGGAGCGAAGCGAGTGAGCGATAAGGGTCCCGATGCTTCCAAGTCCGATGAGGTGAATCCGCTGGGATGCCATTGTGCATGTGTCACACAATGGTAGAATTGGCGATCAGGTGAGGTGATCGGTGGGAAGATTGGAATGTTTTGTTCATCTGTTTACCGGAAATAACTCCGCGGCTATTTTGGTGCCCTTCGCTTGCGGAGAGGCATGCGGGGCAGTGCCCCTTATTCTTTAGTACAAGGTTCTGGTTCCTGCACCCCTTGTTTATCACTCTAATTGATATGATGATACTTTAGATGAAAATAACAAGGCATATATTCATAACTTAGTCTCCATCCCATAAAGTCACCATTATATACAACTCCCGCAAGAATGAACAATAAATCACAATCTTTCCCATCCATAAATACAACCCCATCCCTAGAAACTTATCTTCCTTCCCCCCTTCTATTCCCTCCCCCACACAACACTAAAAGATCGGCATCCTAACCGGATTCTCATAATCCACATTCTCCTCCCGACTCTCAATCCGCTCATGACACGTTCCAAAGATCTTATCCCACAGCCTAGTCTGCTTTCCATAATTATGACTCTTCTTCCATCCCTTGCGATGATGCAAATCATGATCCTCAATCACCAACTCCGCCCCAACCAACTTCAACAACCAATCCAGCGTTGACGGCGGCGACGCATGCATCCTCAATCCACTATGGCCCGCCAACTCCGCGAACATCACATACTGATGACAGATCCACCACTCATAGAACCCCATCGGCATTCCCATCAGCTTCATACTGAAGTATGTCATCAGCGGGATGCCCGCGATGTCGAAGAACTCCTGCTCTGTGTCCGCGTACAGGGTTAGGAGTGGGTTGGGGTGCTTGGTCAGGTGGTGCGTCCGGTGGTATTTCCAGAGACTGCCCACATCGTGCATCAGTCGGTGGTACCAGTAGAACCAGAAGTCGAGGATGATGCCGTATAGTCCGATTTCGAGTGGTAGCCAGCCCCAGCTCATCTGGGCCGGTGCTTGGCTGACTCGGTAGCTGAGGAAGACCGTCATGATGGGTCGGAAGGTTGATGTCGATAGCAGGGACCGGACGACCTTGGCTACTCCGACGTCGGGGACGCCGTCACGGCCGTGCTGGTCGCCGTCTAGGAAACCGAGGACGTGGCCCATGCGGCGCATGACGTGGAGTTGGTGGATGGCGATGAGCTTGAAGGCGACAGAGTAGAGGATGAAGGCGCCCACGGCGGTGAAATTGTGGCCCGTGTAGGAGATGTAGACGTGGTGGACCGCGAGAGGGAGGAGGGCGTGGTAGAGAATCCAGAGGTGCTGAGACCATGATCCCATGTAGGGAACCTTCTCGGTCTTTGGATGCACCGGGACCTCCTTGTCGAGGTTGCTAGGGTGCACGCCGAGGATCTCGAAGAACCAGTGCCAAACGCTCCACTCGGCGCGATCCAGCCGGCGCCATGTAGACTTCATTGAATCCTTAGGATTGGGGTGTGTACCGCTCATGATGGGTGGTAAGGGTGGTGGTCAACTCATCTGCGAGGATACCCTGGTTGGGGGGGGGAGGAGGAGGGGGTGGGATGGGATATATAGGGCTGCTGGAGTGCCGGATTTTCACACTGCAGGGGGAGGCCATCTCCGAACGCAAATAGGCAAGTTTCTCTTGCCAATCGCATGTGATTGAGAATCCGGGGGGGTTCATGTGGGCATCGGATGTTCTGAACGGGTTAAGTTTTGGGGTTCGTTAGGCCGCTTAACGAGGGGAAATCGCCGCGGCTTTGCAGATCACTCGAAAAGAAGGCCCGTCGTTGGTTGGCGTAGCGGCTCAGCGCTTGACTCAACTGAGGATCTTTGACACATGAAGGTTGCTTCTTGTTGGGAATAAGGTGTGCCTCGGATTTGTGTCTGGAATGTTGGGATGAAGTGGCATGCGGCTTGGAAGCCTGATTGCGGCCACTGATCGATATGTGATGTCTGCTCTCTCCACTTGGCCAGTTGCCACGGGGCTGATGAGATGGTGCTTCTTAACAGTATGTCATCTTATCTCATTGTTACGCATGGCTTCTATTTGGGGCTGGTAGTATCTCGTCAGCCTGTTGGCCTTCCAGGGTCTGCTATGTATCGGTCGTAGTCATCTTAATCAACGTGGATGATGCTGCTTTATGCTTGCTCGTGAGAACACCTGAACGGTTGATCAGGTCCGTGAAGGAATTTACATCCTGACTATGCATCGGAAGAATTTGAAACTATATTTTGAAGACAGGCCAGTGAATGATGGTGTTGGGACAGATGTGACAGCCACTCGAAGTTGCAGCTTGCAGCAGAGTGGTTCGCGACCATTACCGCATTGGGAAATCTGGGTTGGCGCCTCGGGATTGGCAACTGGCAACCACCTGAACATGACGCTGCTGAAATTGGTAAAAGCAGCCCGTAGGGGCAAATCTCGAAGTCTAGCGAAATCTGTCGAATTGTGCCCATACTTGGTAAACTGTTGTTGATCTAACAGTACTTTTACTCGACTGTGCTGAAGTGTGGGCCTATAACACGTTGATTTATGCATAAACAAAGTGTAGGCGCCACCAACGCATCAATAGCACGAGTTGACCTACTATATTTACATCCTCACTTACAAGACTCATATTATATCTACAACCATTCCACACACATCTAGAGGTCATTGTATGTGGCCCTGGATTGTCACCAGAAAGGAACACGGGAAATTGCTCTAGCCAGGGGTAACGAGTGACCTACACGCTTGATTTTCAGTCATTGTGTTGGTGTACAGCCAGTTTAGTAGCCAGAAAGAACAGAAGAAGAGAATACCATCTCAATCATTGTATTGCAGACGATCCTTATCTCAGAATAATCAATCGGAACAGACGGTAATATAATGCAACAAAGCTGTTATAACGGACGACCGCTGAACCCTAACACATCATCCGACCGGAAGGAAAACAAACAACGCAGTAGGCCAGATATAACCAGAACTCAGGAGCAACAAATATTAGGTTCTGAGCTATCCTAATTACTGCTGGGAGAATCCATGTGGGCGACCCAAAATTGCGCCCGCCCGCCCGATAAATGAGGCAGCCATACCTGATTGAACTGCATCTCCGACCGGGGGATCTCCACCCGCCCGGATAGCCGTTTCATCCTGACCCCAATCTGGCATCAGGAACCCTATGTCCGTGTGCTCGATTGTGATTGTAAACTTACATCCAGACAGGGGTCAGGCAGGTGAAACCTAGTTCTAAATGGTAGGTAGCACTTCAGCTTGGTCGGACCGAAGGGGATCATGCAGCATACTTAACCCCTGATGCCGACGGAATGTACACCATTCCCTGCCAAGCGCGTCGTTCTTTCCGTGTCCATCCCAGTCACTCCCTCGGATTCACTCATTGTAAGTCCTTTCGCAGCGCGTTATATCGTGATACTAATTCTCTAAGATGATCCGTCGCGTTCTCTTGTCACTCGCTTTACAGTGCATGGTCACCGGGACCATTGCCAACCCTGACACTCTTTCGCACAACTATGACGAGCGTGGCCTGTTTGGTGAATCGGAATTCGATTATGTTGTCGTTGGTGGCGGTACAGGTGGAAACACTATTGCAACTCGGCTGGCGCAGAAGAATTTCAAGGTGGCAGTGATTGAGGCTGGAGGATCATATGAATTCGAGTCGGTGGCCGAGGTGCCTGCTGCGGACGTGCTTCCAGTTGGGTCGGACCCAGAAACTGCTGCTGCTCACGACTGGGGTTTCGTCGCAGAGAATGTCCCTGGTGCGAATGGCCGGTCCATTCACTATGCTCGGGGGAAATGCTGGGGTGGATCGTAGGTGTCGCACATCGCTCAGAAGGGACAAAGCTAACGCATATACAGCTCCGCGATGAACTTTATGATTTATCAACGGTATGTGTTTCTGCTCGGAAACATTTCAGAAATGACCCCACTAACGGTCTGCCAGGCCGACCGTCGAGTCCATGGAGCAATGGGCCACTGCCGTCAACGACAGCAGCTACACCTTCGACCAGACGCTGCCCTTCTACAAGACCAGCGTGAAATTCACACCCCCCAACGCTCAAATCCGGGCCAAGAATGCCACCGCTGGCTATGATGCCAGTGCGTACGAATCCACTGGTGGCCCGTTGAAGGTGTCGTACGCGAACTACGCCATGCCCTTCTCGACATGGATGGACCTCGGCATGAAAGCCATTGGTATCAACGAGACGCAGGACTTCAACCTGGGCTCACTGATGGGCGGCCAGTACTGCGCATCAACCATCGACCCCAGCGGCGAGCTCCGGAGTAGTTCCGAGGAGTCATTCCTTGCGAACAAACCGTCGACACTGACCACGTACGCAAACACCCTCGCCAAGAAGATCATCTTCAACAACCAGAAACAGGCGACCGGCGTGCAGGTCAAGGGCTCCGGGGGTAACATCTTCACCATCAAGGCAAACCGCGAAGTCATCGTCTCCGCGGGTGCCTTCCAGTCTCCCCAGCTGCTCATGGTGTCTGGAGTTGGTCCGCAAGACCAGCTCGAGGAACACGGCATTCAGGTCGTAGCTAACCGTCCGGGCGTGGGTCAGAACATGTGGGATCACCCGTTCTTTGCGCCTTCGTATCGTGTCAACGTGCAGACCTTCACCGCGATCGCCAATGACTTCCTAGGTATTGTCGGCCAGTTTATCAACATGGTCGGCTTCGGCAACGGCCCACTAACCAACCCTATCTCGGACTACCTTGCCTGGGAGAAGATCCCGGCGGCCCTGCGTAGTGCATTCAGCAGCCAGACTACCAAGCAACTGGCTTCCTTCCCGAGTGATTGGCCTGAGGCGGAGGTATGTGCAAACTATGGATGTATGCATAGTACTACAGACACGCTAATGGAATACAGTACATCTCCGGTGCCGGATACATGGGCAACGTGTCCAACCTTCTCACCACACAGCCCCAAGACGGCTACCAGTACGCCTCCATGCTGGCGGTACTCATCACCCCGACCTCCCGCGGCAACATTACGCTTCGCTCTGCTGATACCGATGACCTCCCCGTCATCAACCCCAACTGGCTCGCAACTCAATCCGACCAGGAAGTCGCTATCGCCATGTTCAAGCGTGTTCGCGCGGCCTTCCAGAGCAAGGCCATGGCGCCCGTCATCATTGGTAAGGAGTATAACCCCGGTCTGGAGGTACAGTCGGACGAGCAGATCCTCCAGTGGATCAAGGATAACGTCATGACGCTCTGGCATGCCGCTTGTACATGCAAGATGGGCACGTCTGATGATGAGATGGCGGTGGTGGATAGTCAGGCTAGGGTGTATGGAGTCCAGGGTGTGAGAGTTGTGGATGCGTCTGCATTCCCGTTCTTGCCGCCGGGACACCCTCAGTCTACCGTCTGTAAGTTATACCTCTTACCTTGTGCTTCGATGAGGATCAAATACTAACGTGAAAAAGATATGCTTGCGGAGAAGATCGCCAACGCAATTATCAACGGGGCGTGATTTCTATCCTTCATAAGTTGAGCTCTTTCGTATTCTTCCTTCATATATTGTACAATATATAACCGGAGTACCATAACTTATGAGTATAATACTATCAGGGAGACCATCTCCGGAAACTCGAAAACATGTATACATGATCATAAGACATCATCCTCCTCTCTCCCTCCCATCTATCTCGACATAATTAAGTATCAAAGCAGGATTAATCCCATCCCCTCCGTTGCACCTTCTCCTTCTCCTGCTTCTCTGACTCCAAAACATCACTGTCGTATCGCGGATCCAGCTTGTTCAACAGCTTGTTCGAATGCGGCTTCGAAGTAGAAGGGGCAGTTGTACTCGAACCGGGGCCCGGGAAACGAGGCTGGCTAGCGGAGTCTTCGGGATCGGTCTGGTCATTATGGTCGATAGGGTCGACGTTCTTTGCGTCGATGAAGTCGCGGCCCATGGGGGGTTGGTCGGCCATGATGGATAGCGGTGGAATTATAGTGCTGAAGGATAAGGAGAGTGGTAAATGATGTGTTCTAGATTGATTGAAACTCGTCTATTGTTTATGTGAATATGATCTGATAGAAGTACGTGCTAGGTAAAGGTGGTGGTTATATACTGGTTGTTGTATCTGGTAATGGCCACTATTACATCATTGGTATATCATCCCGAGTGAATTAGTTACCAGTTAACGTGGAAATGACGATGTCTGGCACTTCCAGAGACCGGACAGAATGCTGTGCTCCGAGGAGATATATATAATTATTCAGCGCTATTATAAGGATTACATAGCAATTGACGTCAACGCTAGCATAATGCTGCGAGTGGAATTGAGGACGCGGGCTGGGGGTGTGTTGATCCAATCTCTCGCTGGCGGAAGACATGATAACTGTCCGGGTATGCCGCGGGACGGCTAGAAAGTACACATATTCCTCGATCCTTGGAGGATTAGAAATCCTAAGTAGCTTTCCATGAGCAATCAATCTCCTTGTATTTAGCCCTTAATTGTGTACCCGAACAATGGCTATCCTATCAACCCGAGTATTGTCTCGGATGTCGGATCTCGGAAACCCCAAGGATTGATTCATAAGCCCTTTCTCCCATCGGCTCGGCTGTCCCATCCGAACCATAGCAACAAAGCATCCAGAACGCGGGGTATATAACAATATAACAACTGACAAAAGCATGAATCTGTACAGACAATCAATAGTTCTTCCGTAGATACTCCATCCATATCAAATCCACCAAACAAGATGTCCTCCACACAACCCACCCACCGTCGCGCCGTCCGCCGAACAGACGACTACACCCCCAACACCCCCAAAGTGAACATCGTAACAGAGCCACTCCCCCTCCCCTTATCCCCCACAGCAGTCCTAGTCCGGGTCCACGCCGTGGCCCTCAACTACCGCGACGCCAACATCGCCAACGGCGGGAACCCATGGCCTGTTCTCCCCCACGGGATTCTGGGCAACGACGCCGCCGGGGAAGTAATAGCCACCGGGGACAAAGTGAAGACCCTAGCTGTTGGGGATCGCGCGGCGCCAATCACAGACACCGAGCAGATTACAGAGCGTGCGGCGAAACGGTCGTGGTTGGCTGCTGACGAAGATGGAGTGATGGCGGATTACATCGTTTATGATGAAAGTGTGCTGTGTAAACTTCCGAGTTATTTGGACTGGGTGCAGGCGTCGATGATTCCTTGTGCGGGGGTTACGGCGTGGTCGGCGTTGAAGGGGATGAGGATTGGGCAGACGGTCTTGGTGCAGGGTGAGTTTTATGTCTCTCTACTCTTTGTTTGATTTGGGGTGTGGATGTTTACTTATGGATGTGGTAGGGACTGGAGGCGTCAGTATGTTTGCGCTGAATTTAGCGCTTACGGCTGGTCTGCGTGTGATTCTGACTTCGTCGAGTGATGCGAAGCTTCAGGCTATCAAGGAGAAGTATTCTGGTTCGGTTATCTTGACGGTTAATTATAAAAACACACCGGAGTGGGAGGATGCGGTGTTGAAGCTTACTGATGGTGTCGGTGTGGACTTGGTGGTTGAGAATGGCGGAACGGGATCCCTTGTCAGGAGTATGCGATGCACTCGTCGTGGCGGGGTGGTCAGTCAGGTGGGATATCTTGGGAAACAGGATCCGTCTGAGCTGCGAGAGCTGGTGCCAACCCTTATTGATCGGAGGATTAACCTCAGGTGAGTGTTGTGGGAAGTAGTGGAAATGGGAAAGGCTTACTGACCTGTAAAGGGGCATTAACGCGGGTTCGAAGATTGATATGGAGGACTTTTGTGAGGCACTGTCGGCTTCGCAGACGCAGCTCGATGACCTTATTAAAAAGTGTTTCCGTTTGAGCAAGCTGAAGAAGCTGTTGAGTATGTTTGGCAGGGTAGGCAGGTTGGGAAGGTAGTGTTGCGTCTGTAGCTAGATGTCTTTACTGGTCCTGAAACAAAGATACAATGAGTAAATCTTCGAACAAATATGATGCGATTCTCTCTCCCTGCTCCAACTAGCAGTATCATACCATTTTGGTCTATATAGTGTCATGACAAATCATCAAGTCTTTAATCATAAAGCCCTAAAAACAAACTGTCTCCCTTCCAGCTTTCAGGTAAACACCAATCATAGCGACAATCAATAAGGATTCGTAGCATTCCACACCTCAAACCCCACCCCGGGTTCCAAAATCAACGTTGGGTCCAAAATCCCCGGATCCATCTCAGCCAGCTCCCTCTCATCCAGCTCCCCATCCCAACAATACCTCTCAAAGCACCGCTCACACTGCCTGGTCCTCTCTATCCCTACCCTCTTCAAACTCCTCTCCACAGCCGCACACCCGATACACTCCGCCCACTCCCCATCCCACGACCCATTCGCCTGCGTCACAATATCAAAACTATTGACGAAGATGTCCTCCATCTGCTCGCGACTCGTCGCCGTCTGCCAGAACGAGAAATTCGTGTATGCGCTATACGGCGCATTGGCCATGTACAGCACAATCGGGGAACGGTCGTCGCCTGTGGTAGTGAGGTTCGCGTCGCAGCCGAAGAATTGCGGGTGAAGGGTGTAGTTCAGGTTCATCATTGTCTTGGAGGGTGGAATTATGGGGAAGGGAAGTCCTGTTGCGTTGGCGGCGAGGTATGTGTTGTAGAGGTTTGTGCCATTGTTCCAGGAGTATGGTTCCGCGTCTTGGGAGTCGTCCCAGGCTATTATGAAGTCGACATTGCGTGCAGGCTGGATTTGACCCCAGAGCGGGATCGTTTGGCCTGTTTCGCTGCCGTCGACGAGTTTGAGGGTTGAGGATTTGTGGGCGTTGCCGGTGGAGAGGGAGAGGTTAGTGAATGGGTTGGGGAATGTTGAGTAGGCGACTTCTGTTAGGTTCAGATCGAAGGTGTCGGCGAACGCTTCAACGAGTCCGTCAAGGTTGGCGGGTTTGCTGAGTCGTTTGGCGAGAGAGGACTTGTGAGCGGTGGAACGTTTGGCAAATTGGCCGAGGGTTCCGTTGGAGACGCTTTCGAGATACCAGAAGTTGAAGGCGCCGGCAGAAGTGCCGATGACCAGTCTAGGATGAGGTTAGAAGCGTGCGAGACGAAATACTCTGAGTTACTTACGAGGACCGATCAAACCCTTTCCAGCATGTACTTGAATTAACTGGGTTTCCGTTGGACAGCTGGTTTCCGAGCCACTCAGTGGGTGTAAACGCATGCACATCTCCTTCCCAAGCGCCGAATTCGAAAGGAGTCAGGTCAAACTATACGGATTAGCTTGAAATTGATAGTTCATTGAAAAGGAGCGCTACTTACAATCGTCCCATTAGATGACGGCACCAAAAGGTCGTAGTATTCAGCATCTTGCGGTTCAACTGAAGCCAGGTGGATGATAGGCATCGGCATTTGGTGATTGATAAAGTTGCTTAGATTGCGGATCCCCGAAAAGGTGGTGTTGAGGCCCCCGGATTGTCCGGGTATGAACTCATACGCAAATCCCCGCCCCAGATAATCACTTATACCTATCTCGAAGCCAGCCATGTGCTTTGCAGCAATCTGTTCGAACATAACAACTTCGGTGGCAGCTTCAGCAGAGGTGTTTGTGACTGTGAGGAAACGGTCAATCTCCGGTTTCCAGTAATCGACAATCTCGTCTGCAGTAGGAAAGTTGTAGGATGGGAAGGACACTGCCGGCCAGGATCCTCCGGACAGACCGGACAAATAGGTCATGCTTTGCAAAAGTCCGCCTGTACGTTGCTCGGTGGCTGCGGGAAGACGGTCATCCAAAGCGCGGATTAGACCTGCCCCGGTGAAGGCGGACCCGAAACCTCCGCCGCTGATGGCCATTCCCATAATTGGAGTCTGGTTTGTGTAATTGAGACGCGAGATGTATTCATCTGTGTCAAAGTCGTCCAGGTTGAGTCGTTCCAGATATGCGACTAGTGAGCCCAGGACGACTTTCTTGCGCCCTTCGACCCATTTCAATTCATCTCTGCTGAGTCCAACTGCCGGTCGAATCCATTGTAGACTTGTTGGGCAGGAGACAGAATCTGGCGCATAACCTTGGGGAAGTTCCAGGGCAGAGGCAAGAGTGGCAGCAGCTGCTGAGATTAGAAGCGGTAGCATTGCAACGATGGTTCTGAGACTGAAAGAAGATCAAGATCGTTGCTAATATTGTAGTTTCAGACTTGAAGGTACAGACCATTATATACACATGAAAATGTTGCGTTCAACATACTGGATACCGTATTCAGATCGAGGTGTTGTTGCCTGTATAGCATATAGCATTCAGTGCCACCCATTCAAACTCGCTGTGATCGGTCACCCGCAAGGCCTTCCTAAACAAGTATGCAGTACTCCGTAGCAGTGCGTCATATTCAGCCCTGGAGATTAGTATGAATGGCAGTAGCGTCCCAGCGCAGCTGAAGCCCTTAAAACAGGGAAGCAAGAAGAAGTATCTGCTGCGCATATTGCGGACACTTTACCAGCCACGGGTTTCCGGAGTCTGCGATTCGTTGTCTCGTATCCACAGTGAAGGCGCCACGATCAACTAAATCCGCTTGGGATGAGCCGATCTGCATAGCTAGTGGTCTAACCGCCTCGATCAATAAATAGGAATTGAGGCAGTTCACAGCCTTACCCATGGTAAGGGCAAACCATACTCCTTCGGGTACCAACAAGAGCTTCGATCGACATGTCATATAATATTGTCAAAGCACAAGGATCAACAAGACGTTCCATTGGTCTGGAACTGCGCCTCCAGGGCATTACATACTTATCCGCGGTCAATCGGAAGGATCATGAGTTGGCACGGACCTGTCAGAAGCTTGGAAGGTGGAGCGTCACGGATGGCTGCGGGAATCACAATCCTGCTGCCTACAGGGCACCAACAAGCATCATTGCTGTAGTGTTAGACTTTGGGCATGGCATCATCCTCGAGTCCAAGAAGGGTATCTCTTGCGACTGTTTCTGTATCGATGCCCTAGGAGCACAGCCTCATTTGCGACCGTGCAGAAGGATAACGTGACTTGCTCGTCGAAAACAGGGAAGAACTGCGAAAGTGGGATCAATCCAGAACAACATCATTACTATCATTTCATGCTTTGCTTTTGTCATACTGAACATATTATACAGACACCCTCGACATCTCAAGCATCTAGCAAATTCTTTCCCCGCAGTCTCTCGCCATACTTGATGAAGATCAAGGGCATCAACGAGAACACCAAAACAATCAGCGCCAAAAGTGTTCCGCCCCAGTTATATCCAAGGTGCTTGAACAGTGGCGGTCCTGCAAGGGGCAGGAATGCGGCGCAGGCATTTCTGGGAACCAGCATTGCGCTGGTAGCACTCGCGGCGTAGATGCCGAAGAGGTCCACGACGTAAGTTTGCAAAGTGATGGTGGTAGACACCAGCCCAAACCCAATGATGCCCGTGCCAATAATTGGCGCAATCCATTGGACATGGTACTGCGCAGTCCAGCCAAAAAGGAAAAGGCCGCCTGACATGATGAAGCATGCAATCAGGACAGGGGGCAGGCGCTGCTCTGGCTTGGAAGTGCCGGACCGTGCCCGGGCTGTGCGCACATAGCGGTCTAGCAGGAAGCTGCACAGGAAGGCCCCGAGAATGAGCCCAAGACACAGTCCTAGGAAGGCTAGACCGGATGCTCCTTCGGAGAAGCCGTACACATCCTGGAACAGTGTTGCGATGGTTGTCATCACCAGGTAGGTGTAACCATAGACCACGCTGAGATACAAGGTAACAAGTATTAGCATGGGAGACCGGATGAGCAGACGGAGTGGCCGGAGAATAGTCTTGAAAAATACGTGGCTGGCCGTCTTTTCTGTATCTTCCGGGCTTTCAGTGCCAGTTTCGAGGCCCTGCTGTTTGGCTTTGCGTTTCTGGAGAGTGACGCTGTACGTTTCACGGTACACGACAAGAATGAGCAGGGACAGAGTCCCGGTCGCAATAGTCGGTAACCAGAATGCCCATCGCCATCCGGCTTTTTCACCCAGATAGGAACCGATGATAGGACCTACGACTGGTCCCAATGCACCGGTCAAGGACATAATAGACATGGCACGTCCGCGATTTTCCTCGGGAAAGAGATCGCTGACGATACCAGGACCGATGGCTGATGCTGCGGTCGCCGCACCACTCAGGAACCGGAAGGCAATCAGCATCTGGATACTGGTACTGGCAGCAGTTCCAGCCAAAAAGGCCACAAAGAAGAGATTGGCAATATTCAGAGGCCATTGTCGGCCATACAATTCAGAGAGCGGTCCCCATAGCAATGGCGCTATGATTTCTCCGAGTTCCCAGATGGATACAATGAGGGTGCGGTAGAGGGCATTGTCGGAATGGAAATCAGACAGAATGGACGGGGAGACAGGAGCTGCTATGATGGTGGACAACTGACTTTCCCGGGCGCAACTGTCAGACACCTTGACATTGAGTTTATTGATGGGGGTTTAAGCTTACACCATGGTTGATAATCCCGCGACAAGGACGACGGTGATCCACTTGTACGTGGTGGAGCGGGTTTGGGGATCAAAAGGATCATAATCGGCCGAGTCCACGGGGCTCGTCGACTGGACGGTGACCTCGGTTTCTTTGCAATGGCCATCTTCCTCATCCATTTTGGACTGGTTTAGTAACCGCCAAAGAGAAGGTAGGGAGAATGATTCAAAAGTTAATGGAATGGGAAGGAAGACTGAAGTTGAAAGGGAGGAGCCGATGTCCGTTAAAAAAAAAAAACAAGGAGGAACGGGATGAAAGGAATGGAGGGGAAGATCGGACGAGCAAAGGGTTTGCGCTCAGACCGAGGCTGATCAGGCTTGATGCTCCTTTGACAGTAAGCAGATAAGCAGATAAAGTACTTTGTCCACTCAGACCAGGCTAATAGACTAACAGAAAACAGAAGGTGGTACTGTTTGGCCCCCAGTGGGCTTGCAGGGGGGGGGCTTGCAGATTTACAGGCCACTAAACGTTACTACTTTCTTAATTGCATTAAAGCTAAATAAGCTAAATTAGGTGCTGACTAGGGTTTTCTGCGCTAAAAGTCCCTTTCCCCCTCCTCTCTCGGCTGCCCTTCTTGGCTAGTTTCTCACCCTCTCCCCCAGCCGAACCAATTCAGCCTCGCCCTTGTCTATTCCGAAAAAGGATCGGCATAATGCCCGTGTTCCTCGAAATACTTGCTCATTGTCGGGTAGTGCTCACTATCCGCAGGACAGAAGGCGTAGCGCTCAATGCTATGGACGATCGGCTTGTAGTCGGTCAGTCGCTTGTAGCAGGCATTACGTTCCGGTGCCTTCGACCAGGCTACCAGCTTATCAAAGTCCTTGCATTGCATCAATTGGCCTTCTCCACCACCATTCAGCAGCTGAAGAGATGGCATGGGGGTATCATCGGCCTTGCACATCAGATCCTGTCGCAGGGAATCGAGACAGTGTTCGATATGAGGAGCGGGGATCGAGCTCTCTTGTCCGGACCAGAGTTCATGGTAAGAGTGGCGCATAAGTTTCTAGTAGAGAAAAGTAGAATGTCAGCGTATACCCCGAGTATGAAATGTTGCGACGGTTACTCACCAGACAGTGGAGTTGATGGAACACCTTAATGAAGTAGATCCTCCGGTTCGGATCCCAAGGGAAAGCCCAAGAGTCCGATAGACCCTTGCTCTGAGCCCATTCCCAGGTGGGAGCAATAACCATGGGGTCCATGCTCAGGTTCTCCCACATCTCATCCGCATGAGTCTTGTTCTCGCTAGTATACTCGGAGTGGTGGGAGTAAGGCAGGTGAGTATCCCATGCCAGACCGGCTGGTCATAGGAAGCAATGTTAGAGATGAAACTTCATATTGAAGCTTGTGAGATAAGTACGTACTGTAAGGAGACCGCTGCTTAGCCATGGCCGCATCAGGATCCAAGTCCTGAATGGGGGCATTGTGACCCTTCTGGAACACAAACCATCCCACGTTCAGTGAGAGCGAAAACAACAGTCCCAATAGCAGCAAAGCGTTCGTCCAGCTGGGGTATCTGGAAGCTCTGGGCTGAGGTGCGACTCTCTCCGAGTCCTCAGCCAGAAGCCCCTGGTCACTGTCGTCGTCACGGTTGACTTTCTCGTAGGAATACATTGTGAGAGGGGGGAGTGAGCATGGAGGGGTTTGACAGCCGGAGGGGCGTTGAGGGTCAACGCAATGCTCAGATTTTAAGCACCGAGCCCTTGTCACATTTGTCAGATTTCTGATGGAACGTCGGCTCCGGAACACATCATGCGATGCCGGCAATGGGGCTGTCGGCGATGTGGGTTCACATTGCATGAAAGAGCTCAAGCTAATGCAAGGCTGGTCAGCACGGCACACCGGTTGATAGTAGCGTCGCAAACAGGTAATCCTTCGCTATCTGAGGCTCCACTATGTGACGGCCTGCTTCTATCCCACCGGATCAATTGTCTTCGGGCCTTGCCGGTCCTCCGCCGCTGGTTCCTATGTAATCCCCTCAAATCCCCCCTGGCTCCTCGTTCATTCAGCAGCAAACCCTCAAGTCTTCCAGTCTCACACTTCTAGTCCTTCTACCACAAAAGGTATGCTCACCTCATCTTGGCGGACACCATTCTGCAGCGTCCTTCGGGTTAACATAGCTCTGTGACAGACTCCTGCCTCCACTTCGGGACCAACCATCTCAAAACATCCACATCTCACAAAATGCGTGTCGCTACTCTCGTCCTCGTCGCCTTCTCGGCTGTGGCTCTTGCCCTCCCTACCACCAACAACGTTGAGCGTACCGCTGCTGACGCCAACGTCCGTCAGATGGATGAGCTGACCGTTGCCGCCATCAGCAAGTAAACGGTTAAACGGGATATTACAAAGAATAAATGATACAATGGAAAGATTTATGTATTTAGTTGTGAAATTCAAGTTAATTAACTAAGTATCTTTTGTCGATTCCGGTCTCATTAATTCTATATCACTGTCCGAACACTTGGTCGCATTGTATGCCGACTGCACCGTAGGATGTTTGAGCTCCGTCGGCTTGAACATACCACTAGGGAACGACTCCAGAAATTCTCGTAGGTATGGCACACAGGCAGATAGGATAGCCACTGTTTGAAGCACTTGACTGCAAATCGCCCATTGCCAGATATTGGTCGGTAGAGGAGAGTCGGCGTGAAGCTTGAAATTACGAACGTAGCATAGCTGTACAATACTGCCCGCGATATCCCTAGCAGAGAGGTCAGAATTGTCGAAGACTTGGTAAAGTATTGCGACATACAGGATCCGGATACCGAAGCAGCTTATTACCACCAAACGCCTTTTCAGACTCAGTTGCAGGCGGAATATGATGAAGGACGGAACTGCGATGATCATAATCTCGACCAAGACATTCATGACTCCGAATGCTATCCAAATCCCGGACTTGTAGATGTTAGCAATGTTTTCTCAGCTGGACTAGCACATCGCATTTTACTTACCAGGTCAAGACACTTTCCGCCGACAATATTCCAAACTTCGGGTGGGTGGCATTGAAGGCATACCACGATGGCCATCACCACAACCCATATCAAAAGTAGACCTGTCGCTGCCAGGACGGACTTCGACTGGCCTGTCGACGAGAGCAGACTGTAGAAGAGAACCATGACAGACAGCTTTCCCAGTCCCAGCGTCAAAACATACAGCACCTCCATTGAATAGAGGGCCTTCTGCATGACGACCACCTGGTCATCTGAGAGAGGGGAAGCTTGTCCCAAGCCATGAGTAGCAGCGACGGATACAGCTGCCCCGGAGGCTATTGACGCGATCTACTGACAGTCAGTTTTACTATACAGATGGCATGAAGCAAACAAATTATCTGAGAGAGCTAGCTAACCAAAGTGCTCAAAAGGAGCGCCACACTAGACACCTTCCTCCTCAGCACCTGCCAGTTTGTCGTCAAACAGGCTACGACAGCGATGAAGGAGACGATGAGGAGGAAGCATGTCACGACCTTGACTGCTGCAGAATGGTCTGTCATGACTTTCAGGCGTGAAACAAAATAACCTTCATGGTACCGAATCGGATTCCAAGGCACAGGTGGTGAAGGATTTTGGCTGGCTACGAAACTGATCGTGATTGAACGATTTTAGGCATATAAGGTAAATAAGACCGCTGGCTGAAGAGAAGGCAGATCCTACTTGTGAGCAGTGCGTGAACAGCCCCATACACAGCCCAGCAAGCAAATATGCTCTCTGCACGAGCGGAGATGGAGCACGGGTCGCACTGGAGACACAGGAGTGACAGGATACGCTGGATAAGACTGGATCCCACTGGATCCCACTGGATACTACTGGGGCTGGCGCGTGCCGCCCGGAAAGTTTAGTCGGGGAGGCCCGATGATCGCCAAGGCCGTCGGCCTATAAGCGTCGCACTATGGCTCTGCGCCCCTCCGCCTGGATTCTCTAGCGGCCGCCCTCTCTGCACACTGCAGGAATATCTAACCCTAATGGGGAAACACCAGTCAATACATGTGAGACGGTTGGCTGTCTCGGTCTTACTGCTTATGGCCAAGACTGCTTGAGTAGCCGAGTTGCCTTGGCTAATATGCTTCTTGGTTTTGTGCTGTGTTGATGGTCGTGGTACGTAGTGGTGGTGGGTGGGCTTTCCCGGCCAACCCGAACAAGATGGACAGCTAATAGACTAGGGCTGACGTTGGATGGTCCCATTGTTGTGGTGGTGGATTGGTGGTGCACACCCTCCCCTCCCTGTCTACTTCTCCACTTTCCAACTCCACCCCCCTGCTTGCCAGCCTTCATTCCTTTCTCTCTTCCTTCCGGAGTCGCTTGGTCGCGTTCCAATTCCAATTTACGCCCATATGAGACACGCGGCAGCCAAGATCGTCTAATTTAGTAGTACGTAGTAGTAGTAGTAGTTGAACATTTCTCGATAGGCTAGATTCCTTTTCGTTTCCTCATACTCAGCCATCCTTCAGATATCGAAATAACGGCCCCCAACTTGCAATGCATCTGGCCCCCAATCATCGCACGATAGTTTCTGCAACCGATAACGCAGAGGGACCCTTTGCTTCTTCGGGTAATCCGGCCGATAATTGGTCTAATGGCAGGACTGTGTGTGGCAATCCTGCAGGGTTTACCGTCTACGTTGGATTTTATCCGGCCGCGCTTGCATAAAATGACTCCGAATCAGTTTCTTAAAATCCATGCCTTCGAAATCACACCTTCTCTTACTTGTCTAGTTGCCTGCGTCTTGGACTGGTCGTGACGAGTTCCCAAAATGGCCAGGAACAGCGATGTTGAACATTCGATCGAGCTGCGTGCTCCAACGAACCGGGATTCCGGCACGCCGAGCAAGGCTACCTTTAGTAACGATGCTTACGAGCTGGCCAGGGTCGGGAAGAAGGAGGTGTTGAAGGTAACCAACACACACGTTATCCCCGAGAGTCTACTACCATCAGCCGCTGAGATCTACCCTTGCTAGCGACGATTTGGTCTAACGAGTACTGTCGGGTTTGCCTGCAGCTTGATGCTGACTTGGGAAGCGGTTATAATGTATGCGATATTTTTTTCAATATTCTTTTTCTTTTCTCTCTTTTACCCCTCTTTTTGTTTCCCCACTCCCCCTTGCTTTTTATCCCGTCAGAACTCTACATGCTAATAGAATATTTAGGAACATTAGCTTGGGACTCACCAAGTAAGGCCTACCACGGAATGATCTTACCTTTGAAGAAAACTGTTTGTTAACCCTCGTGCAGTGGTGGTCCCGCCGGTTTGGTGTATGGCTTTCTTGGGGTCTGGGCGGGCATCATTTCCGTGTTCATTTCGATGGGGGAGCTAGCAAGCATGATGCCGTCGGTATGTGTCCGACACTTGCTGCAGCTGAGAATGAGCCTAATTTCTCACCACAGGCGGGTGGACAATATCATTGGGTGAGCATCTTGGCCCCCAGGTCGGCCAGGAAGTTTCTCAGTCATGTCACTGGTATGTGTGCGACTCCATGTGCCGAGTATGCGAACCGCGGTCCGAATTAGCTAACGCAAGGGAAAAATCCAGGCTCGGTCTGCATTATTGCGTGGACAGCGGCCCCCACAGCCGCCATCTACCTGGCCGCCAGTGTGCTGCAGAGCACCATTGCCATGAACATCCCCAGCTATGATCCCAAAGGATGGCACATCACGCTGATCATGTGGGCGATTCTGCTCGTCTGCACAGTTCTCAATACTTGGCTGGGGATGATCTTGCCGGTCATTGAAGTGCTTATCCTTCTTGTCCATGTGCTTGGCTTCTTCGCCGTCTTGGTTCCGCTCGTCTATTTGGGGCCCAAGGCCGATCCGCGATCGATCTTTACTGTATCCTTCGATTATGGCGGCTGGGGTGATATGACCTTGGCTACCTTTATCGGGTTAAAAGGCACTGTAGCTGCATTTGTCGGTAAGGCAGACTTTCGCGTCTAATCGACTGCAACATGATATACTGACTTCGGTTTTTGTGTTCACTAGGCACTGATGGCGCGGTTCATGTAAGTTGCTTCCTTCTCGGTGTTTAGCCGCTGTTTGAGTCAGTTGCCAAACTAACCCCTTACAGATGGCCGAAGAAGTCGCCAACAGCAGTCGGGTGGTCCCCCGTTCTATGCTGCTGGCCCTCATGATCAACGGCGCAACTGGCTTTGCCATCCTGATTGCCTTCCTCTTCACCGCTGGAGACCTGTTGAAGATTGTGGAATCCAGTGCCTCGTATCCCTTCATGTACATGCTGGCGAGCTCGACGGGCAGTAAGGGTGCTGCGGTTGTTCTCTCCAGTATGATGGCTATTCTGCAAGCGTGTGCAGGACTCGCGGGTATCTCTTCCGGCAGTCGTATGCTGTGGTCATTCTCCCGCGAGCAGGCCATTCCCGGCTGGCGCTGGGTGCGACAGGTAAGTGATGGGCCTAGCCTCTATTCGCCCTCAGGTGGTTTTGTTAGGAATATTCTAATTGCGATCGCTCTTATCTACAGGTGAACCAACGGACTCTAGTGCCCTTCCACAGCACGTTGGTAGTGGTCATCGCGGCCGGTCTGCTCAGCCTGATTAACATCGGGTCGGCAGTGGTGCTGAACATCATTCTGTCGCTGGTGTTGGAGGCCTTCTTTGCCTCGTACATGATATCTCTGACCCTCCTGCTCTATCGTAGATTGCGCGGCGACCTCACCGAGCCGGGTCAAGGCGGCGGTGTCCTCAACTGGGGGCCCTTCCGAGTCAAAGGGTGGTTGGGCACGGCAAATAACATCTTTGCCATTGCCTACTCCATCATCATGATGTTCTTCGGGTGCTGGCCACCGGAGAACCACCCTGCTCCCAAGGATATTAACTATAGCATCGTCATTTTCGCGGGAGTTACCCTCATCAGTATCGTGTACTATGTGGGATGGGCGCGGAAGCACTACAAAGGCCCGCTAGCCGAGATTTAGTTGGATGCTTTTGACTAACTAACAGCTCGGGAAATGGCGCAATTTTCCACTTGATTCAGGGACTTTTCCCCTACTTACTAGTGGCGTCGCCCTAAAATAGTCTACCTTATACCATAGTACTACTTTTTTTCTTAATTTAAAAGAAGGATTCATTTAGTCCGTCCGTGACAGGGTAACATCGGCTTCCGGCTACTAAATTAGTTCATTAGTTGGTAGATAATTTAGTGAGGATAACTAATCTAACTAACCTATTTTCCATTCACTACTCTCTATTAGTCAAGTCAGATAGTTACTTTTTTTTTCTCTTTCTCTTGTTGTTTCCCCTCATCCCGCGCGCGCCTCCTCAAATTTCCCGTTTCAATCGATCATCCATCCATCAATCCTTTCCCAACAAGAGTCCAGCCAGCCCAGCCCATCATGACCAAGTCGCAGTTTGAAGTCCGGGAAATCCACACCAAAGAGGAATATGCCCGTCTAGTCGACGTTCTCTGGTCGGCCAACTTCAACCCTTACAAGTAAGTGAGCGCGCAATTTACCACTACACATTCCTTTGCTTCCTTCTTCCTTCATTAATCTCCTCCCCTCAATCCTCCCTCCTATCCTCCCATCCCCGTACAGTAGAGTTTCAAACTAATATCGTCGGTCGCACCACCACCACCACCAACAGCCCAGTATTCACTGCCGTCCACCCCGTAAGCGGCCACACCGCAGAAGACCGCGTAAAAGACAAAGCCCTCGACACGGAAATCCGCTGGGCCGCTCACGAGAAGAATCCTGCCTCCCATCTCATCTATGTGATTGATACCGAAACCGGTCGCGTCGCTGGCGGCTGCGAATGGCTCATCTTTCACAAAAACCCCTTTCCCAATGGCCCTCAACCGCTGTCGTGTACTTGGTACCCGGAGGGTTCGGAACGCGCGGAATATGCTAGTCGCATGCTCAGTCAGGCTTTCTTTCCGAGACAGTGTTGGTTGCAGAGGCCTCATGCTGGTATATCCTCCCCTCTTTATTTCCATCTATTCTACTTTTTACTTGAAGAGAGCTAACTGATGACTGGATAGGCGTAAATGCCATGGGCGTCCACCCCGATTACCGCCGTCGAGGCGTCGGACGACTTCTTATGCAATGGGGCCACGAGAGGATCGATCCCCTAGGATACGAGAGCTGGATCGAGGGCAGTCCCATCGGTCGCTGGTTGTATGAAGAGAGCGGATACAAGCGCGTGATTAGTCTGAACATCGACTTTGCGAAGAAGAACCCCAGTGATGAGTGGAACAGGCTGGTGCATGAATGTCAACCGCCCGCGATTCTCTTGCTTTGGCGCCCTCCGCGCGGTGAGTGGAATGATAAGGTGCCCCCGGGTCCGTGGGCGGTTACCGAAGATACCTGGAAATAGGTTCGTCGGTTCGTCAAGAGTGTTGCCATCTTAGATGTAGACTAGATGAGATGATGTTGATGATTGACATGATGATGGAAAAAGACTTCTTTCTACTCAACTGTTTTTCTTGTTCACTGATACCTGGGGGAAACTTGATGCGGAGACGCCGTTTTCCCTCATGCTTTTAGGTTTCGCATCCGAATCTGTTCTGTGTCCAGACCAGCCTTCATGCGGTCATAGTGCACGCCTTAAGGCCAAGGCCTGTTAAAAGCTGGAAGTAACAATATGCTTATCTGTTTTGCGTTTTTTCATTGGGCGTGGTATTTTCCTGCGGATGGCGAACTCCCATACAAAGTCTCCTTTACGAGAAGCTGACTCATTTCGTGTAACAGCCATCCATGTCTCTTTCTAGTCAATCATTCCGCAAGCGGACGAGGTCTAAGTATCATCAATACCATCTTGCCCTTCAGGCCACCCGTAGTTTCGGCTATATCAATGGTCGTTGCATTAGATGCATATAATCCTCGCCATCTATCCTCTATAGTTATCAGCCATATCTCACATCAACAACATGAACACAGACGAGACATTCGACTTCATCATAGTCGGAGCAGGCGTCGCAGGTAATCCACCAATCATAATATCTTCCACTCATATTGATAAGCAACAGGCTGCGTGGTAGCGAGTCGAATCTCGCAAAGCCGTCCCGATCTGCGCATCCTGCTCATCGAGGCCGGCGTCGAGAAAGATGATCGGACAACCGGTGCAATGGGCTTCACGGCAGGATTCGGCTCGGATATCGAATGGCCCCATCGCTCGGTGCCGCAGGAGCGCGCTTTCGGAGGTGATACGGTTTGTCTAACCTCTGGCAAGCTGGTCGGGGGAGGGTCCGGGGTAAATTATCAGGTGTTTACGCGCGGGCCGGCTGTTGATTAGTGAGATTCCAATCTATTAGTGGCGATTTGGTCACGAAGATTGTTGCTGATGTTACTGTGTTTGACTAGTGACCAATGGGCAGAGCTTGTGCAAGACCGGAGATGGTCGTGGAATGGGTTTTTGCCGTATTTCAAGAGGGTCGAGACGTGGTATCCTTCGGTGGAGATGAAGGAGAGAGGTTGTGTCACGATTGATTCTCATGGAGATCGTGGACCGATTAAGGTAGCCGTCACATTCCTCTTCTACGTAATGAGGTACCGTGTTGATATCGTATAGGTCAGTCATGCGACGAATAGTGGCAAGCCACGCAATTACCCGTTGCGGGAGAAGAGCCGTAGGTTTCATGAATTACTCGGTCGCAAACAGACGGATGATATGAATAGTGGACAGCAACTGGGATACTCGGAGGCTTTTAGTTCCACCTATGCGGGATTGAGAAGCTTTGCGAGTAGCTACCCTTTGGGGAGACATGTCTCTGTCTGGACGCAGGCAACGGTGGAAAGGCTCGTCATGGCTGGGAGGACTGCGGAAGGCGTCGTTGTTGCGCGACCTGTCGGAGATCAGATTGAGCGTGTCCATGTCAGGGCTCGGAAGGAGGTAATCCTCTCAGCAGGGGCATATGGATCACCCAAAATCCTTCTTCTTAGGTGGGTTAGAATTCACTGCTTCTGGGAGTAGAAAACCTAATAACAGTGACAGCGGCATCGGCCCAGCAGAAGAGTTGCAGCGACATAACATCACTCCAGTCGTAGACCTCCCGGTGGGGAAGAACTATGCTGACCATCCTCATATATTCACCTACTGGACGATTGACGAGCACGATGCTACCCTAGGTGACGGGGAGATGGAAACTGATCAAGTCCATTGGCTAGCAGGCTTGCCATACGACTGGATGTCTTTTGCACCTGCGGATGCAAAGACACAAGATTTGGCCAAACAAGTTCTGAGCTCAGCCGAGCGCAGTCGGTATTTGGCTGAGGGGAAGATGCAACTCGAAAACTTTATCGTGTACGCTAATCCTCAAAAACGCGCCGACGAGGAAGCACTGCTAATCAAATCAGTTACACCGCCGTAGACACGTCCACTCGCAAGAAACCCCTCAAAGGCTGGCCCGGTAAGCGCGTCATCAGCCTCATGCACGTTCTTGTCGACTCAGTATCACGGGGTACTCTCACGCTGCGATCATCTGACCCTGCTGACGCCCCCGTGCTGGACCCCAGATTCCTTGCATCCCCGATTGACCGATCGGCGATGTACGAGAATGGGCGGGAGACTGCGCGTGCCATACAGGCCGTCGAGGGTCTCAATGCTGTCGAGTTCGGCGTCGACGATTCCCTCCGTGATAATTGGACCGATGAGGCGATCGATGTCCGGGCGAACCGGAGTGGTGGTAGTTGCTTTCACTACTCTGGGACTTGTGCGATGGGGAAAGTTGTCGACACTGAGTGTCGGGTGTATCAGGTTGAGCGATTGAGGGTTGTGGACTCTGGTGTAATCCCACTACCGTTGGCGGCGCATTATCAGGCCCCGACGTATGGTGTTGCTGAACAGGTAGGTATTGTAGCATGAGGGCATGGTGCTGCTGCTAATATGTGCATTGTAGGCTGCTGATATGATTCTTTCCTCGGTGGCGTGACCAGCTGGATCTTTCACCATTATAGAGAACTGCGAATAAAAGGTGAAGATACATGATAGTTGGAGAATGTGGCTATGTGCGATGCTCGATGCAGGCCATTGTTCCCATAATGTGCTATAAAGTTGCGATGCCATGGCGATATGGTGAGGGTGGAGCCGCAGGCCATGTCCACTTTGACGGAAACCTGTGGATCAGATCCCACGGAAAGCGGGGAGAAAAAGACGGTTATAGCCGATAGAGATAAGTTGTGCCATCACTCCTAGTAGCGGGGGGAATATATAGCAAAAAGAAAAAAAGAACGACCGAGACGTGACTCGAACACGCAACCACTGCCACATCCACTACCGGAAGGCAGCGCGCTACCATTGCGCCACCCGGCCGTACTTGATGTTTGTTGCAAACACTTTTGCCTTATAACTAAATGATTCAACTCTGTTTCACAAGAGCTTTCTTTACGGACAGGCCAGGTCAACAGGCGGCGAATCTGGGTGTCAAACTTATATTTTTCATTCGAATTCGCTTATATGACTTTTATGAAGCATGTATAATATGCTATTTAATCTGTTGGCTTAACTGCCCGCGGACGGATATTCTCCCGGTTCCCCCATCTGCAACCGGCAAGATACTATATATTCTTTACCCAGTATGTTGAGCATACTTTAGATTGCAGGCCGGTGATTCCAACTGCAAGCATCATTCCACTAGCCTCATTCCACTAGCCCTATTGCCCCATACAATATAATATTAAACTACCATACAGTGTACTATGTAGATTTATCTCTTTGCATCTAAGACTATTGATGCGATTGAACATAGTCCTCTACCCTGCAAAACTCAACACATGCTGATCCGAAAACCCAGTAATACAGTAAGCCTAAACGTCAAGTCAGTGGGTAAGATCCACTAATCTACCACGTAAGGCTGCTTCAAAAACAGAACAAAAAAAAAAAAAAAGATATGATTATACAAGTAAGACTAGCCTACTCCGTACTGCGTCTCTCTACAACCCACTGACAGACGGCAATGAGCTGAGTACGAGCTAATGCTAGTCGAATGGACGGAAGAAAATAAGCGATCAGAAAGGTTAGCAATTAGCGCATCACTAATAAGCCAGTCTACCAAGGTTTCATTGGCCTATTTATCCGTCTAATCTCAACCTTGTCCATGCTTAGAAGAGGCTGGAATCGAAGTCGCTACCCATCCGCCTGACGTGAGATTTAAGTGGATGTTCAGCTTTACTTTGTCTTGGGTGGAGTAACTAATACCCCATGTCTACGCACTACACGCCACTGCAGCCCACAGAATGTCGTTGGCTCGCTGAGCCCCAGTAGGTACACATGTAGCGACTCAGCAGTATATGGTGTCCTCGGTGACAGCCTTGTACCCCTCCCTCATCTAGGCTACCATAATGCGCTGACGATAGATCCATATAATTCACAGCCGCCCCTCCCTACCACCCATAGTCTGATCCCCGTAACCTCTCCAACCGTACGATTACCCTTTGGCCAAATGGCACCCACCATCCTCTTCGTCCCGGGTTTCTGGGAGGGGCCCAAAGTGTTCACCCCCGTATGCGATCTCCTGCAGGGTGAAGGATTCAAGACGGAAGACTGCACACTACCCAGCACAGGCACCACCTCGCCCGGAAACCCGGCTATGGCCGACGATATAGCCGCCGTGCGCGACCACCTGGCGAGCATCGTGCACCGCGGAGAAGAGGTCATTCTCGTATTGCATTCGGCCGGTGGGTTTTTAGGTAGCGCTGCCATGGAAGGCCTGAGCAAGTCGGCTGTCGGACAAGGGGGAGTCGTTAAGATTGTCTTCTTGGCTGCGGCGGTTTTCCCGGAAGGTCATGAACACGAGGATTTGCCATTTGCTGTTGCTGAGGTTGGTCATCCCGCCTATTTATGTTCTCGCCCCTAATGCGATAGTGTCTGGTTGACATGTGAATTGACAGGGGGGTGCGATGTACTGCGTCAATCCCGAGGTGCTTCTTCTCAACGATGTTCCTGAGCCAGAGAAGACGAAGTGGTTGGCCATGCTTGATCCCCAGCCGGCTGATGGTTGGAATGGCAGGGTACCCTACGCTGGGTGGAAGGATGTGCCCAGCGTGTACCTTGTCTGTGAGGGTGATAATGCTCTTCCAGCGGGCCTCCAAGAGCAACTAGCTAACCTGGCGGGGAGCCAGATTGAGCGGTGCAGTGCTGGCCACATGCCTCAGCTCAGTCAGCCATCGCGGGTGGCAGAGATTATACGTGCTGCTGCGGCATCTCTTTGATGAGAGCGAGAAATAGAACGTGAGTGTGATGTTGCACACGATATGTCGAGCAAGGTTGAGGTGATGAGGCACTGTATATCTGAGGCGCAAAATGACGTGAAAATAGAAGTACATGGTATATAATGTGAACATTGACAAGCAAGTTGGATAGTATTGTACAGTTATTCAGAATCATCCGACTCAATCCCTCGGCCATTGATGGCGAGTAGCTGGACATCACTGCACATCTGTGAGTCAAAAGAAGCCTTGCGTTGGGGTAAGCACTTACAAGACGAGGGTTGAGTTGCCAGGAATAAACGGAGGAGCTCCCCTGGCGAATACATCAGCGCAAATTCCAAATGATTGCTCATTACATAAAACTTACTTTTCGCCATATCCATAGTGACTGTCGGACATAAGAAATGGTTAGTAGTTGACACGTTGTAAGGAGATAGCCATTGTGAATAAGACATACGGGCCGAATGTAAGATAGGCTCTTTCACCCAGACTCATCCCCAAAATACCAAAATCCCATCCTGAAACTGATCAGCCTAACATTTTGCAGGGCTTGTTGCACCGACGCACCTTTGATCACCTGGCCGACACCGACCTTGAAAGTAAAAGGAAATCCCCGTTTAATACTGCTGTCAAATCTATAGTGGGACTAATATTAGTATGAAGAACAGCTTAGGCTATGCAAATAATGGTAAAACAAACGGCAAGCCGTGTCTCACTGATTGATAGGAACATACCGACGCCCTCGGTTCCTTGACCGTGCCGGGTCAAAAAGATAGCCGTGGTAATGCACTGTCACCATGTCACCTGGCTTGGGATAATCCACGCCATTGCCCGGGCGCAGAATATCCTTGATGAAATCGATAAACCCCATATTTTTTTTTTGGTCAGGTAATCTGGTAAACTCCAGATGGATTGTGGGGAAACAATGGGGTCATGAACGGGGCACGTCTCCCTTCCAGCGAGTCACATGACCAGTGGAGATTGTGCCGGAACGGAAAAATTTGATTTGAGCCCTGCAGAAGAAGCTGGGTGGAAGGTATGTCTGCTTCACTGCGGTAGGATAGATGAACTCTGTGGAATGAAATTATACTAAGAAGAACAACACAACAGAGCATCTATTTCAGCTAAGTTTGATGCTGATTTTCTTTGATTTTGACTACAAAGTAGTAGTTGTAGCATATCAGTGCCTGAGGTATCCATCCATTCACAGACAGGTGTGAATCCCCGGTACGGAGTACACTGGAGACAGTGAGTGTATTCACAACTTCTCACTAGTTGCCCTGAAACGCGTCCCATCCTTCACCGAGCCAATCATTCACACTACTCTAGCATAATGAGGGGTTTTTGCTATTGGATAAAAATATAACGAGGTTGCACAGCAATTCAATCAAAAGACGGTGCATCCTCCGCTAAATCTCGAGGAGGGAGTTAACCGTTGTTATCCCATCTCCCTGACTGGAATTCGCCACAGAAGACAACAGCACTGTCTATTATCATGCATGAAATAGTATTGTCATTCATCGCATTGCGCCTAGAACCAAAGGGCAGGGCTCAACGGGCTTGTCACTGTCATGCCACTAGCGAAAGTCTCCCTTTTATATCCCGATTCCCTCTCCAGGGACCAAGATGTTTCCTATCTCCTGCAGCATCGGTAGCAAGACACTATACTATCACATCAAGACATTATCATAGCAAGTGTTCACTGCAGCAAAGCAGCTCTGAGCAGACAATATGCCTGCCTCACGCCCCAAGCGACAGGACAGACCCAAGCACTCTGAGCTTGATACGAAACGACATGCAATACGCGCCGGCATGGGACGTGGAGAAAGCAACGTCGAAGGGGCAAACGAATCAGAGAGGGAGATATGGGCCCAGGCAAATAGACACCTGCTGAATCAAGTGTCCGGTATCAGCGAAAAAAGTTTGATTGATGAAGGCCGAACTGGACGGTACTCATGTCCGCCACTTATGTCGGCAGATTCGGAGGCCTTTCTAAGCCCCGAAGAGACCACCGCCATGCCTCGTCCCGCCTTCTACAGACAAGTATGGAGTAGGCCTAGCCTTGTCATGCGGCCAATGTATCCATTGACGCCTGACGACAGCCCCGAGGACGAAATGAATCCTAAAGCACACAATGCTTCGAAACAGCTCCACCAGGCTTTGGAACAATTTACCACCGGCACCACCAGCTCAAGTTCCGACCTTGCGAGCTCCACCATATCCAACTCACAGGGGCACATCAAGAGGTGTGCACGGCACCAGAGACGTTCGACCCCGTACTCTCGGCCTAGCCGTGCCCCCCGACCGAGCCGTATTCATTCGTCGAATGCGTGGCTCGGTCGGATGCAGGCTTGCTTGAGCGAGGTTGACATGGAGGTTATCGATCAGCAAACGGACCTTGTTGGGCTCCGTACTTACGACCTGAGCCATGTCATTGTCAGCCACCGAGAGTACCCCTTCAGGGAGATCAACTTTATCATGCTCGTATGGAAAGATGTTACGGGCCCAGTAGACGTCGATTGGCCTGCTTTGCAGGTCCCCCTTAAGAATCGCTTGGCAGCATCGTACCACGGACAGAATGACCACGGAAGCCGAAGGGCCCTCTACGGTGGGATCGTAGTGGGCCAATTGGCTCAATTTTATGTCTTTGTGGGAGAGGGTCCGGCGCAGTTGAACCTGTCCATTTTCGAGGGCAACAAGATTACGTTGAACCTCGAACATGACCAGGGACTAATTGACGACCATCTATCCTGGGTGAACAATGAGTTCCCGACCGAAGTGTACGAGGAGATTGAACACGATACGAGTTTACAGGCAGCTGCCTGCTGCATCGAGGATTTCCTTGGGTCCATGAGCTCGTCTTCAACTGCGTTCGAACTACTGCCCGAGTTCGAAATCGCCCCGATAACCGACTTATCCAGCACGTCAGCACCATTGCCTCAGCCCGAGTTCGTGCCGGAGGAGCCGTCACCAACAATTCTCGATGCCGAGAACTCCTTCGAAGACTTCCTTAGGGAAGTCACCTGGCAGTTTGAGGGGTCCGAGCATAGTCAAGACGAGAAGGAGCAAGCCGGCAATGATGACGAAAGCGATGCAATCGAAGAAGGCATAACAGATGACGTAGCCGACATCATTGATGAGGACACACTCATAAAAAAAGCCCTGAAGTACGTGGGTGAAGGAGCACTCGACACAGTAGTCGGGTCCATATGTCTAACAGACGAACTGAACTTTGAAACCGACGACGAGCAGGGACGTTATATCAAGAAGGAGCTCTGCTGAAGTGGTTGGAGGTTCTCATGGCCACCACTTGAACCAGGGCATATGGCTTCGAAAAGTCCACGATTTATACTGCAAAATTTCGAGAAAATTTATTGAAGACAGGTTGAAATTATGACTGTTGCTTACCATTTAGTAAACCGGATGCCTTCGTAGTACGATTCAACTAAGAAGACCTTTGGAGTGAGAGTTAAGGTAAGAAGAGTACACTGTCAGCTGGGGCTTATGAAGAGTTGAAATAAGGTTTCTAGGTTGCGCACAAACCCATGCATTGACAGGCTGCTACGTAAGATTCATGGGTTATGCATGTTATAATGTGAATGACTGCTGGAGCTTCTGATTGATCATTGGTCCACAGAGCCAATTAAGTGAAAGAAAGGTACACAGGACGATTGTTGAAGCACGCGGTCGCTAGTCAGAGGCCACATGGCACCAAACCAGATCATTTTTGACCACAGTCCTCGTACATTAGCTCCTCTTGTGTGCCTGTCCATGTAGACCATGTGAAATTGGCTTCCCTACTCGATTCTAGAATTTCCCGGGTAGTGTTAAGAATTATTATGGTTAAGATTTCCCATGTATTCCATCCCTTCCCATTGAAGTGCTGGCTATACAGGTGCTTCGCCGCTCAAATAGGATATAGCAGTTTGTAACCCCATAAGAGCCACATTAGGCTGCGAGTTTCCCTTTGATGAACATGATCATCGCATCTGTATACAATTTGCTGGTCGGCACAGAATGACCACCCGGGTGAATGAGCACTTTATCTTCCTCAGCACCTGTGGTCGCATCAATCAGAGTGCGACTTCTTTTGTGGTACACAACATCATCAAATTGCCCATTCATATGAAGCATTGGCCCTGAAATTTTTGGGGAATAGAAGGCTTTGTATCGAAGGTTCAATCCAGCGAAACCACAGCAGCTGATCGAGAACTTGATAGGCTCGACTCCATCAAATGACTTAGGGAACGGAATACCTCCACTTTCGACTTCGGCTTTCTCGAAGACACTCTTTCTGCCTGGTTCAAACAGGCTTGTGATAAGTCCGGTTAGAAACCCCCCCTGGGAAAATCCAATGACTCCAGCAAAGGGACCCTGAGAGCGCATGATATCACCAAGCTTTTTCAGTGCATCGGGCAAGCCTGGAAATTCATCGTCATCGCTGACCTTGTAGAACCATCCATAACCTGGGTCGGTTCCCGGTATATAGCGTTCCCAGTCGGTTGGCTTAAGTCTCCAGGTGCCATCAGGGTACACAAGCTCTACACCATCCGGGTAATCCCGATGAAATCCAGGGGCAGGCGCTGCTGGAAAGGCTTCGATAAGGGCCTTCTCCAGTCCAAGTACTTCTTCGCGGAAAAACTTTCCAGACTCAGTATAACCTGTCGAGAGTAACTATGGTCAGTGGTAGTTATGACATCCATGGTTAGAGTCAGGATAGTACCATGGATCATAAGAATCTTGAGCTTGGTCGTTATTCTTGTCATCGTAGCGATTGATTTAAGGAGCTTTAGATTCAATTGAAAATGTATCAAATGGTGTTATTTCCTCTGAGGGTTAATGTCGAAGAGGTGATTAACACCGTGGCATTCGGCTTCTTATTTATGACTAGATGCGGGGTACTTGCATGATAGGTGCACACACGTCAACTGACTTCTTGGAAATTGCCCAATGGCACTGACTAGATTGATATGTGCCATAGCGACATAAAATGTGCTCCTGTAATTAGACCATACCAAAGCGTTTACAACGTGCAATAGATCAGTAGGTGCTCTATATCTATATATTCTTTTGTCTTGAAGACAGTGAATAACATCCAGTAACTTTCAATCATTACCAAGTACCTTTGAAGTTGATCAGAATCCCAATGAACGGAAACGGTCATTTTAGCAAAAATCAAATATAAGGCTCGGTATAAAACTGAGAATTCGTGTTAATAGTCGCATATATTGCAATCCGCTATGATCAGGGTAGAGAATTGGGCGCTTATCTTAGATGACGCAATACGTAGTCCACCTGGCAGATAACTAAGTGGCTTGCAGGGCTATGGACTAATTAGCGCTATATCGCTCCGAGATTGGGTTGCAGCAGCTCAGCGGCAGCATGCAAATTATGGATAAGAAGCGTGAGAACCGCTTTTATGTGACTTATAAAAGCAGAACTGTGTCTATACTTTTGTCGTGAGCAAACCCAAGTGATGTCAAACATTGTATGCAATCTTGGGAGCATAGGGAGATGGATGCTTTCTTTTCTCCAAATAATCGATCCTTTCGGAGATCCTTATCAATTGTCATTTATCGAAGAATTGGAATTATTGTATTCCATTCAATCACTTGATGCGTACTGATCACACTCTCCCGCAAAATTACGACCCACATCGACAGACCAAGTCGGACTTCAGCCCTATCTTGCTCTGGCCTCCTCGAGTGGATCATCCTATGTATTGACCCTTCAGAATTCTCTCGCATACACAAAAGATAAATTGTATTTTCCATCAGTGGGAAGTGGCTATTTTAGGATATACGGTGTATATTTCTCCAGTAGGGCTCGATGGATGGGGTGAGATCAGGACAATCCTGATATTTAACCACCCGCAGTCTCTTCTCTTGCGAATGAGAAAATGTAATTCATGATTCTGACAGAGTAGTTCAGTACTTGAAGATATGTCTTAATTGACTATGTCGATTCCGATTTCCCTGACTAACATGATGATGATGTCATATGAAATCAGTAACAGACCCACAAAGATGACTTCATCAATTCGCGGCATAGTTACTGCTTCTTCCATCACTGCTTGTGAAGATTAGGCCGTAAACAGCATAAAGTGGCTTAATACAGTACGACGAACTTTGAGACTGAGCAAACATTCAGATCCAGCCATGACCAGACAGAGATAAGAGTAGCAAACGCGATTCTCAACAATCACCGCCCAGCCACCAATATGTTAGGCAAAGTCGTCCTCGAAGAAGCCTACGAGCGGCCTAACATGCAAGAAAAGTCCAAGCATGAGGCCAGTCTTTACATTGCTCCCAATGACCGTCCCCGCTACATGCGTCAAATCAACGACATCAATCAAGAACGACTGAAGCTAGCCGACGCGCACGGCATAGGATACACCATTATCTCTCTCACCGTCCCCGGCATCCAGGGCATCGCCGACAAAGCCGAAGCCGAACGAGTGGCCACCGAGACCAACAACTGGGCAGCAGAGCAAATCAAAAACCATCGGGACCGTCTGGGCGCCTTCGCTTGCCTCTCAATGCATGATCCAGCTCAAGCCGCCAATGAGTTGCGCCGCTGCGTCCAGGAATTAGGCTTCCATGGCGCGCTGCTATGCAGTTTCCAGCATGCGGGTCCAGATGGTGAGACGTACCTTTTTTACGACCAGCCGGAATATGATAAGTTCTGGAAAGCCCTTGTGGAGCTGGACGTCCCCTTGTATATCCATCCTGCTGCTCCGACCGGGGTCATCCTCGAGAAACTCTATGCTCAACGACCTGCGCTTATCGGTCCCCCGCTATCGTTTGCCAACGATGTCAGTTTACATACGCTGGGAATCATCTCCAACGGAGTCTTTGATCGCTTTCCAAAACTCAAAATCATCATCGGTCATCTGGGAGAGCACATTCCGTTCGATTTCTGGCGGATTGACCATTGGTTCCAGGACGTCAAGAAGCCAATTGCGAATGAGGAGGGTCGGGTCATGGCACAGAAGAGCCTCTACCACTACTTTAAGCATAATATCTGGCTTACTACTAGTGGTCACTTTTCCACCCCGACTTTGAAGTACGTGGTCAATGAGATTGGTGTTGACCGGGTCCTTTTTAGCGTTGACTACCCGTATGAAACAACCGAGAGTGGCTGTAACTGGTGGGATCATGATAAGGACGCTATTGTTGAGGCTGTTGGAGGTGTTGACAATTATTATGCCATCGGTCGGGAGAATGCGAAGAAATTGCTAAGGTTGGACAAGTTTCACGATAGTGATGCTTGAACATCTTGAATGGATCGGAAGCTCGAGACACCCGCGACTATTCTAATCAACACATTTTCATCCCTTCAACTACCGAAGCTCAGGAGCGTAGCTCGTACATTGACCGAGTAAGTGAATATCAGAACGGTGTGACTCAGTAGTAGCATGTAGTGAAGAACGTAATTTCCCGCTTGCCTGCTGCTGCCGGAAACAACCCTCATCCATTTCCTCCATAGTGGAAGAAGCCGAGTATCGGGTCTCCATCCTATCCATACATCACATGAAACACATACAGACTGCAGGCGGGGTGCCTGTCTTCGTCGCGTTCACGAACATTTAAATTAACTGCGTTTGCAGATTCGTGTGGGTTATTTTTCGGGTTTGGTGATGCAGATCTCTGTGACCAGAAGCAAGTCTGTTTCGGACAACGCCGGCGGAGGATGACTAGGGGTCTTAAGTGTGGATAGCTCGGGAAACTCCGTTGTGTGATTATCCAGTACTGTCCGGGTGATTTTAGAAACCCGTCTCAATCAGTGACCCTGGCCGGTCAGTGAGTGGTGGGATTAATGCGGCGGGATGAATGTATGATAATGCCTCACGGCCCAAACCGGCTCAAGGCGGCTGTCGTTTTACATTGGCCCTGTTGGAATTTCGTCTGGAGGGAATTCGAAAGGCCAGTTTGCGGGCGATCCCCTTGTGGCCTGCATATTAGTTGTACAAGGATCTACCCGAAAGCGCCGATTCTCTTCTAAGGGAGCCGACAGGGCACTCTTCGGATGTGCTTCGCTTAACCACCTGACCGTCTGTCAGGGAGGATGCATACTCCAGTAATGCTGCGTACAACATGCGACTAAATGTGCCCGGTCGGAAAGGGTTATTCCATTGTCGAGTGAATCAGACATCCAGGGAGATGCAATTTTGGAAAAGACAATCGAGATTATGGTCTTTCCCATGGAAGAGAAGGCTTGTAATCGACTGGCTGTTGTACCCAGTAAGCTTGGGTGTTCCACCCCCATCATCCACTGGCTGAGTGACAGCGAAAACATCCCGGCCGATTGCCCTCTGTTGATTGATGATCTTGACCACGTTGAAGGTCTGATGGATAGGAAATGCCCCCTCTTCAGTTGGTTGCAGATTGATGAGCGTCTGCAACCAGTCTTGGATCTCCAATCCGACTGATAGACTCTGGCATCGGAGAATACCCGCCAAGAGTAAGCCCGAGAACCCGATAGTGTAGCTATTCTTGGTAACGGACGTCTGCATATCGCTCCATTGTGCAATCCGGACTAATGTCTGAACCCAATACTCCTCTTCATTACACTCCCCTCCGTGATGGGCGGTTTCGGAATCATAAAGGAGTCGCAGAACACCCGTGCACTGCATGGCTCGCGCAACTACGTAGTATGCATAGTTCAGCGCGGCATCGTGGGACTGGAAGCGGATTGTGGTGCTGTCTGTGTCGTTGAGCTCGTAAATTGGCTGCTCAGATGGCGGAAGTTGCAACACCCACGCATCCAGCTTTGCCGCTTCTTGGTGCAATAAAGTAGTGCAATATGCATAGCGTTCGTCGAAATCAGAACCACTAACGTCGTCTGTCCGAAAAATCCGGAATTGCTGCAGTACGGCACTGGAGTTTAATCGGTGTGATTCACACATGATGCTAAGGACTTTCACACGTCGCTCATGTAGTGTCTGAGGTACGTCTAGCAGGGAGGCGGGCAAAGGTATCGATGGGAGTTGCTGACAAACTTCTAATGAACTGAAATAGGCTCGAGCCCACCATACAACATAGCGAATTTGCATCCACGAAGCAAGCAGAGACTTGATGGCTGCGTCTTTGACGTCTTCATGCCATTCAAGAAGGTTCATCATTCCCCGGACATGAGTGTAGAAGCCCTGAAAATTCCCCATAGCTTGCTCTAGATGAGCGAATAGAACTAGCACAATTAGGATGATGGTTGAGTTCTGATGGTAGTCTTGTGATTGCATGAGGGCCAGCTTCTGGATTGCGGACGAGTAGTATAGATGACTCCGTGTTTGGTGAATGAGACTAGGCCTCATTGAACACATCGACCCGGCCGAGGCTATTCTACGCTCCGCATGAAGGCGGCCGATATTGCAAGCGGATAAGGCTAGGAGGGCGTCGTTGAGAATTGAATAGTCAGCGGCCAATGAAGTGGCAAACTGGAATATCGGGTGCAAGGCTGGTAAGCAAGAGCCTTCCCAGTAGGTGGTATAGAAGACATCGCGGTCCGTCATTTGCAAGGATTGGATAATGCTATGGCTTCCGATGGAGGGGACATATTCTGCAGCTCGAACAGCCAATGTCTGGTCTTTAGTCGGTATTGGGCATGTCTCTTCTGACGACACACTTGACGCTGTTGCCGTTGCTAGTTGCTTTGTTAATGGTTTCGGGTCGCCGACTGTTGCAATTTTGAATTTGAAAGCTGGTCTAGCATATTCACAGATCTTTCCAAGTCGTGCGCAGGTCCCGCATGTGGGCTTTCGCTCATCACACTTGGTTCTGCGGCTGCGGCAACTCTGACAGCCATTGCGGGAGCGGATGATGTTTGTCTTCTTGGGTCTGGGTGGCGCAGGCTTGTACATGTGATACGAGTAGGGCAAGAGAGGTTGTATTCTCTTCTATAAACTCAACCTCTGATGTCAGTAGTAGCAAAAATACCCATCCAGTCAGAGCGATGGGAGTCGAGAACAATGGTGGGGATGAGTCACTATTAAAGTGATGCACGTGATTGTACAACCAGTCAAATGTTCCCACGCTAAACCGGATCAAGAAATGCTTCATCGCCGATCTATTCGGGGCAGAGTAAATAGTATATATATCCTTTTATGCTATTCTATTCTATCGACGAAGACTTTAGTGCCTTCTTCTTATCAATCAACTCTCCCCGTTCCTGAACTAAAGCTGAAACAGCCTTCCCAGTCTCTCCTCCCATGGCTGCGAATCCCTTGACCACACCGTCCCGGTCGCCGGGCCTCATCTCCTGACTCATCTTGTACTTGCCCTCGATCTTGGTTATCTCGATCTTGATTCCTACCACATTCCTTTGCATCAGGTCAATGTATCGCTCAGGAGCGTCGGCAACCTTCCACGGCTGAGGTCGGTCCCCTCCAATGAATCCCATGATTCGTCGCTCGCATTGCTCTGACAGATCGTGCATTTGTTTCGACAGGAAGGCGCCCGCATCTGGGGTCCTGGAATTATAGAACAGGGAGAGCTTTCCGTAGACTTGAACGGCAGAGTAGTTCCACGTCGGGACAACCTTGCCGGTGTCGGGCTTTGTCTCGGTGTAGAATTTGGGGGTCACATAGTGATCATGGCGTCCGTTGAATACCACCAGGACATCGCGCTCGAGCGGAAGCATACTCGGTGGTGCTCCATTGGCAAGCTCGAACATGGCTTTGGCTTGAGGATTCTGCTTGGCTATATGAGCACGTAGTTGCGGATTGGACGACGGGTTCTCTTCGTCTTGGGGTGGTCTAGCACGAAGGGGACGTGGGTGCATTGGAGAAAGTCTTGGGCAGAGGAGTCAATGCCCGTAATGAGCATACCCAGAGGGTTTTGCTTGATGAATTGGAGCAGCACCTCCTCATCAGATTCGGCATGTGCACTGGCAAAGAACATGGTTTGATGGACTGGAGGAAGAGTATACTGTGTTGATTGTTGGAAGACTGAAGGCACAGTATTGGGGAGGAATAGATCAACTTTATACTAACGTGATGCCTGCGTATTTTGCTTTGCCACTGGCAATTCTGGAGCATTCAGGATCCTCGCCTTATCTGTCTCAAACATAATAATGCAAAGGATGTAATTCGACCAACGATTGTGACTCTAGTCCTATGCCTCTTTCCATGTCAACTCTCCGCTCGGCATCGTTCTCGCGCACCCGATCGGGTAATTTATGGGTCCAGATCCACTTTCGGCCAAAGTTTCGATCGCTCTCGGTAACCCGGTTGGGGTAACAGTTGCCTCTGCCCCTGTCAGTCATGGCTCGGTATTTCGTGGCGGCCTCTATATCTGGAGACCCAATCAGATCTGCGGAGATCTTACTATAACAGGTGTGCGGGTGCGATGTACTCTCTCTCTCTGGAGAGAAGAGACTCTGTTTTTCGGGTACGGCGTAGACGACAGCCGGTAAATCATAAAGAGTATAAGTATCCGCCAGCTTTCGCTAGAATAGACGAGGTCTAGCATCCTGAAAAGCTTATATCGTCCATTTAGTGTAGCAGGAACTACCAGCGCATCCAACACAATGGCCAACCAATCGTCACTACGCATCGCAGTCCTTATCAACACACCCCCTGGCAATGATTTCTGGAACGATGTCCGCGGGTCTTATCAAGATGCCTTTGATGTTATTGCACCAAATGCCGAGGTGGATATGTACGATCCCGTGTTTGAAGGAAATTTCCCCAATTCTCAAGAGTATGACTTGATCGTCTTGAGTGGAGGGAAAGCCGATGCCTCATCCTCGCAGCCCTGGGTCCTTGGTGTTTTGGACTTTCTCCGTAGGACTGCGCGGGAGTCACCAAAGACTAAGATCTTGGGTATCTGCTGGGGCCACCAAGCTATATCAAGAGCATTTGGCGGAGAAGTACGAGCAGTGCCTACGGGACCCATTGTATGTGTCGCAGCCCGCCCAGCTCATCATTACCCACAAACTGACATACCTTCTATGATAGGCCGGCCTTGAAGATGTGAAGTTGACCGAAGCTGGAATGAAGTTTTTCTCTACCCGATCAGGTGTTAAGACCTACGTGCGTTGTTTGATGGCTGCCCTTTGGTTGTTCGCCCTGCTGATGATTCTCCCCAGAGATTACCGGAGTTTCATGTACGAGAGGTGGCCCGACCTGGAGTAGGCTTTATTCACCTGGCGGAAAATCATGAAATGTTTGTTAATAAAGAAAATACTGTGTTGTCGTTCCAGGCGCATCCAGAAGTCCAGACTGAACTGGCCAAGAAGATGTTGTTGGAGGAGGATGATGTGTACAATGGCAATCATTCGGACCGGGAACTACAGGAACAATTGACGAAGCTGAAACGGCCAACAGATGGCTTTGAAGTGCTGAGACGGGTTATAGAGTGGGTTAGGGAGTAGATTGATCCTATTTGCAATATAAAGCATGGGTCATACAAGCATGATAGAGGGGTTCTCGATCTTCACAAACTGTCATCCTTTGCTCGTGTACATTCGCGATGTGACACTGGTCAATCAGATACTTTATATTCATAGTCATTTTGCCTGGAACGTTGAGGTCTTGCGATAGAGCCATGATGACTCATGCTAATTCCATTACTAGGGCCGATCCCCTGTATGCAGTGTAACGGGGAAAGCTCACATCCGGCGCCACCTGATCCTACGAAGACAATATCCATGAATGCTGCTAGGAAATAGAGTCAGTAACTTGAACTTACCGCTTTCATCAGCCGATATGTTACGTTCCTCTTGTTGTGGCGCCAGATGACTCAAATCACCTTCTCCGAAATGCCAAGAACTATACTCGATCTCCGCGGAGTCAATCTTCCAAAATCTCTGGACCTGGCAACTTCATTTAGTCAAGAACAACCATAGAAGCCGAAAGAGAATAAAAATCAAGTATGAATCTCTGGTAACATATGTACTGATAAATCATTTCATGAAGGGAGATGGACAGGTAGACGTAAGCTTAGAAATGCCAATACCGGCTGTAGCCTTGATTTGGCCTGGAAGAGTCTGACTGTGTACGACGCTATATTACCACATCATTGGATGCTAAAGTCCCATTTACCGGCATCTATTCCCTTGAAAGTCTCACTGTAGTTACTGGTCTCTGCATCGTCTTTGCCGTTCCGATGCTATCCGGAAGAAAACATGCCCCTGTTGATGCTACTCCGAATGCCAAGAGCCCACTCTTCCCCCACATCCATCACTCTCCTGCTCTTCAGGCGCGATCAAAGCAACGTATTTCATCTACCATCTACCCTTGGCTACAGCAATCCTGAAAAATTCCTACCTTAAAGTTACTTTCTGCTCGAATTCAAAATAATTGTCAATTAGCACTCATCTTGACATCTAATAACAGCACACCATGTCATCCCCCAACCCCGTCGATGCCCCGCAACATGTCCTACAGCTCCTCTCCGAACTTCACAAAAAGTCCCTAGAACAAGAAGCTACGATTTCCAAGACTGGCAAGTTCATTTCTACGGCTGTTCTCGGCAAGCTGGAAGGCAAAGGCCCTGCCGTCAACCCGCAAGCCGAATTTGACCAACTCATGCTCGACAAGTTCATCGCGCTGGACGAAGACAAATGCCAATTTACCTATCAGCTGATCAACTCCATGGGCGCCACCAATATCATCGAAGCAGGCACCAGCTTTGGGGTTAGTACTATCTACCTTGCTCTGGCTGTCGCAAAGACCACCGCGGCGACAGGCAAGTCTGGCACTGTCATCGCGACGGAGAAGGAGAAATCAAAGGCAGATATTGCGCGGGGCTACTGGCATCAGTGCGGTGAGATTGTGGAGAAACAGATCGATCTGAGAGAAGGTGATCTGCTTGAGACCCTGAAGGAAGGGCTGCCGGAGATTGATCTTCTCCTTCTTGATAGTGAGTTCTCTGATCCTTGATAGACACTCCACATGCTAACTGAGATCCGTAGTCTGGACTCCACTAGCACTTCCTACCCTCAAAACCGTTCTCCCTCGCCTTCGACACGGTGCAGTTGTTCTTACTGATAATACGATCTCCGGCGCTCAGGGCTACGCGGATCTGCTGTCGTTCTTGAGATCGCCTGAGAATGGCTTCCGCAATATGACTTTGCCTTTCACTAATGGGTTTGAGATGAGCGTTTACCTGCCGCAAGGAGAGTAAACAGAGAAGCAGGGTCATAAGCAGTGAGGATGAAGTAGAACGTATCCAGACCAAGCTTGTACATAGTTGCATGAGCTCCTTGACTCAGTAATAGTACATATTCACTTGACGCATCTCATAGACTCAACACGAAGTCATGGCCTGACCTGCCTCCTGGTCCGCAGATTCCAGTTCCTTTCCTGTTTTATGTGCAATGAGAGCTTTCAAGAACTCATCGACATCCTGGGCACCACTTAGAGTCAACGCTCCACCTTCAGCATCCTCTCCTCCGCTAATCCGAAAGTATGGCACACCGTGAACGCCCTCCCGACGAGCCCTCGCCGCCATATCATCAACTTCCTCCACTCCCTGCCCCTGCTCAAGCCAGGTCCGGACTCTCGTTTCCTCCAAATACCCCTCACTAGCGTACACAGCAATACGCACCAGGGTTTCAACATCAGCGATATCCAGCTCATCCTCGAAATGAGCCCGGAAGATGCCTTCGGCAACAGCCGTAGCGATATCGCGATCGCCACGTCCATAATTCTCTTCTTCCCGACTAACCGACTCGCTCAACAACATCACTTGATGCGCACGTAGACTATTTCCGAATCGTCCTTCGAACTTGAATTGGATCCCTTCTTGTACACCTAGTCGCTCCAACCGAGCTTTTGCGGCAGGAACTTTTTCGGCTCCAAGTCTTTGGGTCATTCGCTCTGTTGCGTGTGATTCGATTAGAATTGGCCTCAATTTTGAAAGATGTAAGGCGACAGACCTATGTAGGGAACGCTTTCCATCGGAGCATCGCGGTCTAGAAAGTACGGTTTCCAGGAAATGCGAATGCGGTCTTGGCTTCCACCGGGATAGGTTTTCTGGTATAATCGGATAGCCTTGGTTAGGCGGCGATAGCCAATGTAGCACTGTCGAAATGAAAAGTTTAGATTGAACTAGGTTTTAGAAGGCATGGATGGAATGTGACATACCCACGGGCATACTGGATCCGAGATGACGGTGATTTCAATGAGTGCCATGGTTGCGGGGCAACCTGGATTGAAGGAAATATGGTTGGGAGGGATGGGAAATCTAGGCAGAGGAAGTTTATGGGTTATATAAGTAGTGCTGGTACTTGATTCGGGGTAGGACGAAAGATGCCGACTAGAAGAGTGGCGTTGTAAATGTAGCTGCCTCAGAGAGAGACATGTTTGACTGATTTTAGGCGGCAATCATCCGCCGATCGAGCGAAGCTAAGGTTCTTCGCTGAACGCTAGCAAGAGTACATGTACGGACCAGTCTGCTCAAGCTTGCTTCTATTTCTGTATAATTTCCCAATCATAAAGAGATATCACAGATGCCACTGGATGATGGCTCGCAGTACCAGCCACAGCAAGAAGTACCTGCATAGACTCAAGGATATTCTAGTCGGGCCACTCATGCTGCGTCCCCCTCCTGCCCCTCCTCGGATTCGGCGGGAATAACCTGCTCTGGAGAAATTCCCATGCTAGCCAACCAGTACTATCATTGCCTGTAACTCTTGCATATCGATACCTGCAGACCCCACTGAGCTTCGAGGCAAATGATTCCCAACGACACGGTGGAGCTAGTTGAGCTGGACAGCGAAGTGCAGTTGTAGGGCACCAACCTTCAGGCCAACAGCTTGACACATCTTAACTACGAATTTTCTGTACCTCCTTACTCCTATCTTTTACGTCGACCTTGCCAGTAACAATTTCAAACCGAATTATCTTCTTCTTCGACTGATTACAGTGTCTGTTAAGACGAGATGGGTGACGGAAATACCTTTGACAACAAAGATAACACGGTTCACAACCAGGCCGGTAGTCAAATTGTTTATGGCAGTATATATAACAATACTTTCTATACCTATGATCAAGGTATATTATTCGGTCAAGCTCCTAATTACTGCACTAGTACTAATATCCAGTCACAGATGGCACGCGGCATATTGCTGAGGATAAGGTAGACAAAGATACCGTCCAGCACCCAAATTAATTATCACAGACTAATATATCATCTCTGATATCAGTCTCATCTTGATCACAGGCTCCTAGAAGCAGCCGCCAAAGGGGAGACTGCGAAAGTGGAGCATCTACTGGACAACGGCGCAAACGTTTCGGCCGCGGATTCGCAGGGCCACACAGTGCTTCATGTCGCTGCATCTGGAGGACACGCTGATATTATCAGCATCCTCTTGCGGCGAGGGGCCGACAAAAATGCGAGAAACCGTTCTAATCACCGTCCTTCGGAGCTCGCCAGATTGCTTGGTCATATTCCCCTTGCGAACAAGTTGGAGCTGAATTTGCTTTAGAGAAGCGGTTTAACAGCTATTTCTATTTTCACGAATCATAAAGGATATTCGCTCTTAGCAATTTTCGATCTTTCCCTAAAGGCACACAAGTCTACTATCGATGCAGATAGAATTCTTGATGAATGGAATGCAAGCATCTTCTAATTTACCGTCTCATCCCATACGAACAAGATACATAACTCAGCGACAAATGTTGCGATCTCGTATCATATTGCGGTAGAGCACCAAGAGCCCGTGTTTAAGTACGCGCGTCTACCGTGCAAACGCCCCAAAGTTCATTCCCCCATTGATAGTCTGCTGGCCTGCCTGGTTCATGATGGAAGCTCCACCATTATTGAAGTTGAAGACAGGGCTCTAGAATGCAAATTAGCAGGCGTAGCGGTGAACATCAAGCAGCAGATTCTTACACTCGACTTCTGCTTCACGGGTACCTCAACCATCATCTTCCTCAGTGCACTAAGCACCAATCCGTATCCTTCATCATCCTCCCTCGACCGGAACTTGCAGATGTTCTTATGATCGGCTTGGATGGATATCATGTCTCCGCGACCGGGGATAGTGGCAGAATTGCGGTCAACCACCTTTGCTCATGTTAGCCTGACTATTGAAACTTCCAGGATCTGCAGTTCATTTACCATTACTCCCTGTGTCCTCAATTGCTCATAGAAGAAAGTGGTCAGGATACTGTCGTCGGAATTATCACGTTTTCGCAAAACGTTCGCGAACTCTTCGATCAGGTGCTGCAGTGTGTCTGATTTACTCTTCAGGTCCGAGATGTTGGCCTTGCTGCTCTCGAAAATATAATCTGCTACTTTGTTCAGACGAGACACCCAGTTTGCGATTTCGGAACCGCAGAATGGGGTTCCCAGGAAGACTATTCCTCGGACGTGTTTGCTGATAATCTGTGTATTGTCGGAGGGGGAACTGCGGTTGCCTGCTACGATAGCCTTCGATGGCTTGTTAAATTTCCCCAACATTGGGAATAAATGAAGGGTTGTCAACTTACCTGTGCGCAGACCAAGCCGCCCAAGCTATGGGCTACGAAAATTATCGGGCGCTCTGGCTATTTGGCATCCTTAGTGACGATACTCAGAAGAAGTAGTATTGCTTCTTACCGAAGAGGCTCTGAACCGCGATAGCTGAGCACAAAGATCCTCAGCATTTCCCACAATTCCGTTCTGCGATAGAGCTGAGGTGAAGCTGACCACCCGTGAATCATATCCAAAAGTCATGATACGGGTCTTGGGTAAGTCCTGCGGAAGAAGGGCTTGGGGCCAGCACACATCGTCGATCGTCCAGGTTGCGTCGCGACTTCCGCCAAGACCGTGGACAAAGACGATACTGAACGCAAGTCAGCGATGGGAAAGGAAAAATTGGCTTCTAGGGATTAGTCACATACTCTACCTCCGCTTCGTCGGAGTCGTACAACACTTTAATGCCATATTGAGGTTCGCTCTCACTGGCCTTTGCCGAGCTCCGGAAGATAGTCATGATGAGTGTCTGCTTTATGCAGAGAATGGCGGGGTAAGTGCTTGAAGCTCTTCAGTCAGTCACTGAGGATGTAAGTGATATGGTTCCATGTCTTGAGTGCCGAAGGAAGCCGGAATGGCTTTATATCTGCCTGCATAATACGTGAATAGCCAGGCACTCAACTTGAATCTCGCTATAGGTATTGCCCGCCCTCTTTCCTTTCCTCTGCCCCGCCCATTCCTTGGGCATCCTGCTGGTCTACCAGGCGAAAAAAGACAGGTCCAAGCCATCATGCATATAAGCCCGGCGGATGTCGATCATTCGCAAGTCGAGATGCTGTTGGCTGCTGATGCGGCCATGTCACCCTAAATGAACCCGAGGTCTCCGAGATAGCACCATGGAGTACCATGTTTTTAAAGCCCTGTTTCTCCAAGGCTGGAAATTTTAAGGTGGGCGTGACTCAATTGTACGTGGTCAAGAATCTCTTTTGAGCGAGTAATATAAGGCTCCAATATATGTGGAACCTTCTATGATGTTGTCTCCATTGGCCAGTGAGGCACATGCAACTTCCCCTCATTCTTGCATGAGGCCATTTCGTTTTTCGTACCTCGCCACAGAGAATTTCACCCTAAATAGAAAACCCAGAAGATGCAATAACCCATCGCTATAGCATAGCATTTTGCGCTCTCGGCAAAGGTTGTCTTGGTCGAAGATGACAGAATAACTCTCACATCTATAGAATCAAGCGGACATTCCGAGCTGAGTAACTAATCGATTACGTGCCACAACCACGCTGTTTGTTCCAATAGTACCCCATTTCGATGGTGCAGTAATATCGTTCGTCACATTTAAACATTATTCATAATATGTACCAATAGTCCATCCCAGATGTACTACGCCGAGTCCACTATATCATTAAATCATATCGAACCTCTCTTCAACGGAGTAACCTCATCCACAGAACCCAGTCCAGCCATACGCACGCCATCCTTCCCTTGAATTTCCCCGAACATAACCTTCAAATTTCTCAACTCATCTGGAACATTCTCTCGACCTCCCAAGCAGCCCTTAGCCGCCAGATCGTCTAGCCGTGCACTGGCTCGAGTAGTACATAATGTCTGGAACATGCCGGTCATGCTAGCAGAAATACCGTTGCTGATCAGCGCGTGTCCGCCAAAGAGAATGAACGCCAACGCCGATCCAAGGCACACAAAGTACGTGGCGATCAGGCGTGCCGGTCGGCTAAAGGAGTACACGTTCACCGTTAGATTGTTCGTAACGGTAACCTGGGTGGTTGTTTGATTCATGGTCAAGAGGGAGATTGTAATGTTTTTTAACAGATCTTGCATTGAAGCGCCTGTAATGTTGAAGGTTGGTGTGTTTGATGGGCCTGTGTATAGGTCTGTCAGGGAGATGATAGTGTTGGCTGATGGCTGGCCGTGGATGACTACATTTGGTGAGCCTCAATTGATGTTAATCTATTACTTGCATAAAGGAGTACTCACTGAGCATGTCAATGTATCCTGAGAGTGCCAGGACCAGTGTGTCCTGGATAGCGGCCAAATTCGCCCGGCGGAAGATGTCAATAACATTGCCTCCGGTGTCTCCCGTCGTGGTCGCATTGATTCGCGAGTCCAAAGTCCCAGTCCGAGGAGATACGCCACCATCGTCGTACATATACGAGCTGTTTAGCTGGCGAATTGGGTTAACCTCTGCCGTGACGTATTGTTGGCTCCCCGTGTAAGTGATGTGCAGATTGTAGGTCGCCTCGAATGCTCGGCAGGTGAGGTTGTCGTATTCATTGTCCCTTTTCCAGCGCAGGCCGAAGTCAAAAACATTTTCTGAGCGGTTTGTGCGAGCAGCACTGTCTTGCGATGCGATGTAAAGATACCCTCTCATGCTCGTCTGAGGGTAGGTCTGGTTGACCCAGTTGTAGAGATCTGGAGAGGAGTAGTTGCGGCACTCGAAGCTGGGGCCCAGTATGCTAATACTGTAGGAGCAATCGGTAGCGCACGGAGACGAAGCTGGAAGGTAATGCCCCGCCATCATGGCCTGTCTTGCGACGCGGGTAAGCTTATAACTAGGTCCACTATTTAAAAGTCGTTAGGGCCTCTGTCCACAGTGCAATCAATAATCACGTTCAGTCTAACCTATAGACATCGTAAGAATTGGGCTGCCACAGTGCTTCGGTCATCATGCCAGCAAAAGTGCCATTTCCAATGAAGGCTGGGTCAAATGTCGGAACCGATTGGTTGGCCAAGGTATGGAACGACTTGGACTCGACGGTCAGGGCACCCGCTGGGAAGATCATGGCGATGGGGATACACCAACATATTAAGGCGCAAATAAACGGGATAGGGGCCACTGTTAGGAGCTGCACATTTCCGAGGTAGAGGGGGTTCGTCAGCACTGAGAGGAAGGCGTCAATGTCGCCGATGCGCATCGGGCGCGCGCGCAGGTCCTTCCACAGCATCTGAATGAAAGACATTCCCAACGCGGCGGCCAGAAAGGTCCGGAACCCGTTCACGAATACAACAGATAGCGCTGTCACGTATGGCTGCTTGATGGTCTTTTCGACTTCACGCTGGTCTAGCCAATGAAAGAGACCGAGATGCATGGATGCCACAGAAGCCGCTGAAACGCACAGTTAATAACCCATCCATTTTGGTGAAGTATAGGCGCCGACATAACAAGGCACCTCATCCTCTACATAAGGAAAGCCTACCTAAGAGAAAGCAAGTAATGATGGAACTTGGAGTCATCCACCCAATGGTCCAGTGGGACGTGCTGGATGTGCCCTTTTCGAGCGTGGATGCGACCGACGAAGGGGTTGCTGGAGGTTCATCGGAAAATCCTTTTTCATTTTGGGGTACAGTAGCCTCTGCGTGTGCATTCCCAGTTGAGTTTGTATTGCTCTCCGATACTACCTCTACTTCCCGTTCTCCTTGATCCGCCAGTGTATAGTGATGCTGAGGCGCCATGAGGAAGGCTGCAGTCTGCCAAGCGGACGGCGAACAAAAGTGGACGAACGGATTGCAAGACGGCCTCAAGACATTTAAGGCCCGGCTCATCTCCGAACAAAGGACGAAAGTAGGCCAATGCGGCGCAGCAACCCCGCCTCCAGGGATGAATTGCGAATTTGGCCGCAGGGCCTAGATAGGCTGAGCTTCGGAACGGGCCACCCTCCAATGCGTTAATGGATCCCGGTGCAACAGAGACTTAGGACATGCATCCGGACAGCAGCATCACATGGAGGGGAAATTCAGCTAGAGCAGCCGGGTTGAGAACACAGCGAGCGTGTCAGCGCTAGTCAGCAACGGCGCAGCATTAGCTCCAACCGGGCCCTGATCGTGAGGTTATTCCCTGCATCCACCCACTTTCAAACGGTCAGCTATTGGCTGGAAAAGCCATCGCAATCAACGAGATACCTTTAATAACCATCCGCAGGTGCGCCAGGCAGGGTTCATCGCAGGCCACGTACACGCGACCGAACAGTCGGGTGGAAGCACTGCCTCGCTCTGCCTGTCTGCCCGCAGTAAATAACCCATTATTCTCTGGTGAATGCACGTCTCAATACATTGAATCCATACTACGAAAATGGCTCGGAATAATTAAACAGCGTCTACCCAGGACTGGTCGTCCCAGGCTGGCATGCATTTGATCTGCTTTGGCGGCTCTTTCTGCCAATGGACGAGCTCATCATGAAGGGAATATCGCCCTTCCAATATCGTATGAACGTAGCCCTTCTCCTCCTTAGCCCTCAATGACCAGCGATACTCATATGCAACATTCACAGTGGGAATAGCAAGCACTTTCCCAAGACCCAGGCGCCAGAGATCTTGTGCCAGCAGTGTAGGCTCCCCCATATAGCACTCATCCTCCTCTGAATACCGGAATTCCACATGCCCGTCAATGAATGGGCCACTGTCTAAGGTAACCATTCCACCCCAGCAGCTATAGACCTGCACGGGAAGATGCTTAGCAAAGCGCTCACGAGTGGGACCATGATGGGAGAAAAGGTTATGAGAGTCCCATATCTGCCCATCAGATGAAATGTCAAAGAAGAGATCTCCAGAGAGGTCTCGGGATACCCAAACATCATGAATGACTCCTTCCTCTCTCCAGTCAAATGCACATGTCATTGTCGCATCTTGCACCTTTTGCTGGTACACCAACTCTAGTATATCCTCTGCGCAGATACCGATGTCGTTGATAAATATAATCACAGGATCGTGGCCAAAGGGACTGCCCTTCTGTCTGGCTCCTGTGATGAGAGGCTCGAGAGCCATGTTCCGAAGTTCGGATAGGTCCTTGATGCGATTTTCCCCCGGGCCAAGCGGGTTTATCGGGCTCCGGGAGAAGTAGTATCGCACCCCCATAGCATCCAGCTCCGGCTTCAAACGAGACAGGATCTCATATGTTCCGTCTGTTGACCGACCCTCCACGATCGACAAAGCGCAGTGTTCCGGCCCCAGGTATCGAATAGCCTCCAGAATGCTCCCCATTAGAGGGAGAATAATATGAATCACTTGGTAAAGGTTGAGGGCAAAGAAGTATTGGATTTTGGGGTGCTTTCCGTCGACTGGAATCAGTGTATGGTAACGCTGGCTGATTTTCGCGGGACACTCAAGGTGAGCTGTCGCAGTCATGTTATGGTTGATGATGCCGCACACAAACTGATGGAGCTCGACTGGGGTGTAGTCGCTTTCAGCCTTCATGCGCGAGTGGAGGTCTTCGGATACTGATGCAATGTCGAACCCAGTGCACGAGCTATGGGCACGAGTCGCTAACCACCGTGGTTTCTCATCGCTGAGAAGAAGGAAGAGAATAGCTGAGGCCCCAAGAATTAGCAAAAGCCTTCGCCATGGTCTTGGGCGTCCGAATGTCATCCTGGCTCAGGCATCAGAGGAATTGAAGATTCGCGCAGACAAGATGAAACAAACGGGTTGTCAGTATTGATTCGGGAGTATCGGTCTTTAATAAACAAAGCAAAGCCTTGACGCCCACACTAACATTATAGCATCATTAGCATGGGTGCTGGATCTACATTGTGAACTTCCCTGACGGGTCCTGAATCCTTCTCCGCAAATGTTGATTGTCAGCGGCGGTTGTAAGCAATGATACCAACTTGATACCTACTGGCCAGAACTTCTCAGATCGAGAATCGCACCGCTCAGGGCTGTGTTGTCTCGGCAGTGCATTCTTGTGACGACGATGCCAACTGCAAGAAAATCACTGTTTTGTTAGCTTTTTTCTGAAGTGAGATTTCTCTCTCAATCTAGCTACTTGTATCTGACGTGGCTTGCGCCAACAGGCTCAAACTGTCTGCCCTACCAGATGGCGAACAAAGTCAAAATAAATTTAGATGGATGGTTAGTAGTTGAGATGATTGAGGCTTCTGCCTGTAACTTCGGGTAACAATACAATACAGATATGGCCCCAACAGACCAATTTCGACTATGAACCCTTTAGTATATTTAATATCAAAGTAGTGCGCAATGGCGGCTGCACAGTGGAGATGCGTGTCGCCGCAAAGCTTCTCTCATTCGAGGAGCATCCACCCTACCACACCCAGCCTAGCCGGGGTCCGCGTCACTAACTTCATGAACGGCGCGTAACGCCAAGCGGAAAGTCAGCTGGAGTGGAGATTCAGGGGCTCGTGCTTGCTTTCAGTTCTTCCGACTCTCCGAGGGTCCCGTCCAGAGAGCATTCAGCCTTGCGCCGCGGAGGTCGATCGGAAATTTGCCAAGTAAGAGGCACAACTCAACGCTCTAAAGCTGACGTAAAAGCACCTACCCTATATGTATTAGCCTCTTGTTCTTGAGTGCTTATGGTGTCAATGGCCAATGCTCTTTATTAATTGAGGATAATCAATCTTCGTTATTAGCTGTTTGGACTGATTTAAGAATTGTCTGTTTCATCTCGTTCTCTGCCCCTACGGAAACGAGCTACCCGACTTGGAATCTCGCGAGCTGGTCTAATCTAAGCCAGTCTAGCTCAACAGATTGGCGAATGACCTTCCGTTGACCCACTCAATCTCGAAAGATTAAAGAAATAATGGAGGGAGGAAGAAGACTAAAAGAGAGAAATAAAATAACGATTCTCGGCCGATCACACCCTTTCACCTTCATGATGAGCTTGTGTCCGCCCTACAATATGGAGGGCTCGCTCGCTCCCAAATAAAGGAGATTCTGAGACAGTCTTAGTGAGCGGAAGGAATATTGTGGGCTTCCACGCAGGCGCTGATAAGAACCACCAAATCTAGCTTTTAAGGCCTACCCCCTCTCGTGAGATAAGCCAATCCTACTGCTGCATATATGCAGGTCAGCCCTTCACCTCTATCTCCTAGTTCTGATGCTCTATACGAGGGTAGTCGTGCCTGCTCCACAAACTTGGCAACCGTACTGCTTAGGCCTTCCACTTCTGAGGTAGAAATCATTAAGATACCTTGACCTCGAAGTTCAGTTAGTCAGTGATCAGCGATACCTAAGGCAGAGTTTCGTTGTTAAGTCTTAAGTTAAAGTTATAAGTTCACCAAACCAGGAACCACGCAACGCTATAATCATGGTGACCTGGTCAGGTGATCTACATTTCCTGTTGGGTATGTATGCTGATTGGGTCGATCTTGGGTAACTCAAGATTTGCGGGATCATTGAACACAAATCTCTCTGTGTGATGGCTGTGCAAGCCATACCCGGCTTTGCGCGTCTCGACGATATGCTTACGCTTATGCTTACGCTTAAAGCCTCGGAGCACTCCTAGCAAGAACCGTAAACAAGCATAATTTGGTTGTGGGTCAGATCTGGCACCTTGATCCAATGGTAGCAAGCCCGGAATTTTCCTCTTCTGATACATCTAGTCTAGGCTCGAGAAACCCTGGCCAATACTCTTCTGTAGACGCCCAGGATAACACCGTAGCTTATATAGCACTCGCCAGGCAAAGGTTTATGTATGTTGGAGCTTATGTGGGTTAAACGCCCGTAAGAAGGCTAGTCTGCTTGGACTCCCACATATACACAATTGCCTTTATGTACCGATCTTCTTCACTGACATCAGGCCTGAGCTACCCGTATTCGACAATTGGCACGCCTGTCTCCTGGCTCGGCATAGACATATAGACCTGTTCTAGCATGTCATACCTGCGGGCATACGGGGTTACCCTGAACGGAGCAAGGGGCGCTGCATAACTTTGTCTCAATATGGCAGTAAGCTGTCGCTGATCATTACTTCACACGGCTGCCACCGGCTCCCCAATTGGCAATTGGCCTAAGTGTAAGGCGTACTGCGATGGTATGCCAGACCAATATAAAGCTTCGATGGCTGCACGAATACTTCATGTGTAGAAGTCCCCACTAGACCGATCTCAAGAATACATCTGCAACAATGACTACATTTCTCGTGCAAGAAGACACGTACAACACGAACAACAACGAATTCAAGATACGGGGAATCTCGAATTCTTTTAGCACTTTCGTCATTGACTTCAAGGCTTTCTTTGGTGTCAAGCCCCAGCATGTCAGCCGGAGGTTTAGTGTTTCCCTCTCAGTTCTCAGCTACCAGCCGAAGGTACGTAGTCCGTTTCCGTTTTCATCCCGTCTCTCGGATACCAATACCACCGTATAGATCTATAACCCTCGTGCCGACTGGGCAGTAACTGCTGCCTTCAACTCGTTCCAGGCGCTCCAGGCTTCAACTCACAATTCAGTGCAATGCTTTGCAACCATCGGTACTGGCTCAGGCACCGACGCCATTGCAGCGCTGGATGTCTTCCCTCACCTCCGCAGCATCGTCATGACAGATCTCCATGATGAAGTCGTCGACAAAGCTAAGATCAATCTAATGTCTGCCACTGAAAAGGTAGATGGCCGGGTGAGGGCGGTTGCCAGAGACGCTACTGGGCTGTCTGGTCATAACTTAGTGCCCCTCAAGGGTCAGGTGCCTTTTGACCTGATATATGAGTGAGCTTTCCCTCACGAATCTC